ATGAAGATATAAAATTTAACAGCCACTACTTAAATCATTTACCCCCCTCATATCCTCCTAAATTACTACAAATAAAGTTTCTAAAGAATAAAAACCATGGGATCAAAATTTTGTTTACTCAATATCTTAGCTTAAATTAATTTCTTTAAAATTTCGAAGAATACTCTTAACATAAATTTCTTCGATTAATTTTTCTTTTATTTGGAATCTTAATTAGCAAAATTAATATAAGCAAGAGTTTTAAGTTTATCTCAATCTCTATAATTATGATTCTTTACTCAAAAATATATCCAATATCTTATTCACATTTTTACATTGAGAATATATTTGATTCTCTAATTTAATAGTTGATATAATTTGATTTTCTTCAAAAATAATTTATAGCATAAATGCGCCTGTTTTAAAAATGGAATCTATCAATTTAACTTAAATATGCAATGTTCTAATAATTGGAAAGTTACTCATTACTATAGTCTCTTAAAAAATGATTCCCTATTTCGGACTTGAAAGTATGATTAATACTTAATGTTGTGTCTAAAGAATAAAAATTAAAAAAAGGTAAATTATATTCAGAAATTAAATAAAGATATTCTCCTTTTTATTTTACTGTACAATACAGCAAAAATGAGTTTATTTCAGTAATAGCAACAGCTTAGTTTGGTTTAACACATTTCATTAATCCAGTCAAATGAAATTAGATTGATCTCAAATTTACAGCCATCAGCAGTGTTGTAGCTTCAAAATATTTTTTAACCCTTAGTCTATATTATAATTGAAATAAAAATATCAGTGGCAACCTCCTTTCAAAGCTATGCACTGGCAAGAAATTATGTACAGTTTAGGATTCTGTTCACGTATTTTTAACCACGATTTTCTTATCTTCCAATTCCAATTAAGATATTCGTTCATCACTTTTGAATTATTTAATATGCGAAAAAAATGTAAATTAAATCAATCACAAAATCCTATAGCCGCATATGTGCTATATATAAAATTATTATTGATGAAATGAAACATTCCTTGATTGTAATATTAAAGCTTATTGATTATCCAATCATATTACGCTTAGCTATCAAACATACGTTAATCTTGGAGTAAATAATTACTGCATTTATTTAACTATTAACATCCCTTTAATGCAATTTTTCATTAGTAGGTATAAATTTGGAACAAGCAAATAAATATAATGATTTAACTGTACTAATTAAAGTTGGGTTCCAAATTTAACCTTATAAATTAGGCTCTTCTTTCTGAGAACTAATATTGATGTACAAATTGAATTAGATCGAGTTCGACTATGCAAACTTTTATTTATTAATATGATTTTAATTTTGAATGGAAAGCATATGAAATATTTGCTCAGCTGTAATATTTATATATGAATGATTTTACTTAGAATTAACAATTAAATAATCAAATTTTTGCATCATATTAATTTTAATGATGGTTTAGCATTATCCGAACAACTCTTTTTTGAGGATTATGCAATGTGATAGGATTATCACACATGCATCTTTATAAATATATTCTCAACATATCTATGTTTTATCTGAGAATTTAGAATTTAAGGAAAAATATTTTTTACAATTTAAGATTTTTTATATTTATGCCATTTTACTTAAATATAAGCATTATGACAGTAGCATAAAGAAACAACTTATATTGATGTATTAGAATTAATGATGAGCCTTTTAGAAGGTTGAGATAAAGATTGTTTTCCGTTTATCAAATGCTTTCATATTCATAAGTGGAATTATAATCGTATTTTATTACATTACAGCTACTTAAGAGGGACAGGTATTGGATCAGGTCATCCTTACTGTATGTATTAGAATCGTTATATCTCTAATCATCTAGCATGAATGCACTTTGATAAATAAAATTTGCCATAGTGATTATGTTTTAGCTGAATAGCACGCTAATCCAGCTGATTATAACAAGAAATATGTCGTATATATTTGACATTCTCATTACTTTCGTATCAGTGGGAAACTCAAATATTCTTTGTATAATGGTTCGGAAAGATATACTAACTTAAATCTTTTTCCATTAGCAGTCAGGACCAATTATTTCCTCTTACACAATAATAAAATATAATAAATTGTACTAATCAAAGCATCATTGTAAGTTAAGAACACATGAGACAGTCCATAACTATTGATTTTACATTTATTTAAAAGTTATTCACATTTTATAACCTAAACTATGTAAATAATCTAGTGTAAGAATCTAATTTTGATTATTATAATGATACATTTATTGATTTCTTTAATTAAAGTTATTAAATAAAATTATGTAAATTTAATATCTGTTTCAAAATAAAAATTAAACATTTTAGAATTTTACATTTAAGTTTGCAGATTATTATTATTTTATTAAAATTATACTTGCAATGTCATCTGCATTTCACATTCATATTGGAGGAGCTGGAGTAATGATGGGGGACATGTTATGGAAGCTTTATGAAAAGGAGCATAATGAAACAACATTGAAGAATTATGTTTATTAATAAGTTGATGGACATTCTCATCCATTAACACTATTTGCTGATTTAGATGACAGAATGATTTCTGAAGTTTAAAGGAATAAATAAATACAATTTAAAAAAAATTCCTTTCTTTACGGAAAGGAAGAAGCATCCAACATATATTCTCGAGGTTGCTATACAATTGGGAAAGAGATAATTGATAAAGGATTAGATTAAATTAGAAAGTAAATAGAAACGATGGATAGATTAGACTAATTTGTAATTACTACTTCTATAATGGGAGGAACAGGATCTGGATTTTCTACATTATTGCTATAGAGATTAGAGGTAGATTATAAGAATAAGGTAAAAACTAATGGTTTTATCATATTTCCATCATCGGGGATGTCGAATAATATACTAGGAATCTATAATGCAATGTTTTCAATTTAAATGACAAGAAATCATTTTCATAGTATTACAATGTTTGATAATTAATCAATGTACAATGTAATTGATTAGTAATTAGATTTAGATTATGTAGATTATTCTCATTTAAACAACTTAGTTGCATAGACAATCAGTTCATACACTGGTTTAAGAAGATTTAACAACATTGACAATTCAAAATTCTTTTCAGGTATGTGTCCATATCCTAATTTGCATTATTTTGTTCCTTCATATGGTAAAATGACTTTGATTAATGATTACACTAGAAAAGAATTAAGTCAAAATGAATTTATTAAATATCTCACCAAAAAAGAGATTAAGCTTTACTAATCTCCTAACAACCCTCAACATCTTTCTACTACACTTTTGTTTAGATAAAAGGAACCCAATCATTTTTACGGAAAATTCAATTAAACTCTTTAAAATTTAAGTCATGTCTATAATCAAAGCCCTAGAATTTTTCAATGCAATTCCTCTAATTATCAAGTATTATCCGAGCTTGCATAAATGAAATAAACGGGAATATTTTTCTCGAACGATGCTTCAATTATTAGTAGATTTGACCAATTAGGTAGGAATTTCGATAAAATTTATGCTAAACGGGCTTTTGTGTGGGCTTATGTTAGTGAGGGCCTTGAAGAATTTGAATTTAGTGAGGGAAGAGAAGCATTGGCAAATTTAACAAGTGAATATAGCGAAGTTATAAAGGAGGATTCTCCTCAAAATGACCTAGAAATTGATTATGAGTGAACAGATATAAATATTATCCTTAAACTAATTTCAAATAGCACAATATTACATAATAATTTATAAAAAACCTGTTAAAAAATATATAAACTAATTTCAATCAGTACAACAAACGATAGTACAATAGAACGAAGCCATGACACCAACAATTACTTGATTTTTTTCTAACTCAAACTATAAACTTAAATGAATATAATACTCTTCCATTTAAGATCTATTTGAAGGCATTCATCAAACAAATAGCATATGGTAGCAAAAAAGGAATGCAAATTAAATAAATTGGATGATAGATAATTGCGACAATAACAACTACAAAGATCTCGACAATAACAGGAACTAATCAAATATTAATAAATAACTTACCAGCTGTGTTAAATTTGTTATCAGACAATGTTAAACAAGCCAATGCGATGAAATTAAAAATAAAATTTCCAACCACAATAAAAATCAAAAATATCGCTATCACAAAATCCCCTAATAATAGAAACTTATAAATTACATCCAAATTATGATTTTGATTATGACCCCAAACTCCCAAGCAAGGATAAATAAAAGAATGTGTAGCTAAACAATAACACAAGTAGTATGAAAATGCTGGTTGATAACTAAAATAGAATCAGTAAATACATTTCGATTATTTTTTTTAGTTCCAAGTTTTCCTAGAAAAATGGTAAAAAATGAGAATATAATTAAACAAATGAAAGGAATTGGATTTCCACCGTGAGTATCCCAAAAGAATACCATTGATAATGGGAATAGTAACAGCACAAATAGGATAGACCATAATATATATACTCCTAAAACTCCACATAGGAATAATTTCTATGTTTAAAAGTCTTAGTCTTTCAGCAAATTAGAATTCTGAGCAGGTATTGGCACAATATTATGATTGAAGTATTCAGCATATGGAATCACTTGATTTTATTAGTATTATGCATATTATTAATATTCGGTTGATTCTTGGCAATTTTATTATGAAGGTGATAATACTGGGACAAATTTTATGTTTTAGTTTGGTTTATCCATAAGTTATTATTACAATCCTTCACTCTATGATGGTGGATCGGAGTACTAGATATTCTCAAAATTTGGGTATTTTGCTTCCTACATATTTTAATTAAAAACTTATAATAATAATATTTATATATTATTTAATTTAGACAACATAGAATGATTTCTATACTCTATTTATTAATCCTTTTTATTAAAATTTTTCATTTGTAAATTTACTCTAATAGAACTTCACTTAAACTTCCTTTAAGTTTGAAACCGACAGTATATTTGAGACTAGACATTAAATAAGAATAATTTCTTGGGTCTCTCAAAAATTCAACTAAATCTTTAGAAATTTGAAGTTTTGTAGTATTTAATATAAATGATTTACTTACTTTATTTTCTTCTAGTTTACCTTTCTTTCATTAAAGGATCAAAGATAGTTATTGTTTTCAGCTTAGAACTATCAAAAGCTTGCTGCTTTATTAGAACATTACAAAAAATAATATATATTATTGATTGAAAGGGGAACAATAATTTAATATTTTCTAAGATCAATATGTCTTTTTATTAATTCCATTTCAATTATTGTTGGTCTATCTCTGAAATTTTAATTAACTTATGTTTTGGATTCTATTTTATACAACAATTACAAAATTTCTATTGAATTGTTTCTATAAAAAACTATAATCAATGTCTGTCAAGATAATGGCTACCATATCATTTGTTCTTAACTCAACTGACGAATTTTTATGTTAGCTGCAATTTGTATGACCTTTATGAAATATAGTAATAGTTTTTAAATTCTTTGAATCAAAACTTTATCAAGAAATCTAAGATAATTGATATATAAGACTATTTTTAGTTCCCACTTATATTTACAATCGATGGCAGATTAAAATTAATGATATTTTCATTTATTAAGATAATTTTAAAATACTGTATAATTCATTAATTAATCACTATTTTAAAATTAACCTAGACAGTAGGGGAATAGCCCTTTACTATTTATAAAAGAAATAGTTGAATAGAATTGAATATAATTTAAAATATTCAGTTTTTATATTTATAAATAATTATATTAAATAATGTGGAACTTTTAAATGTTTATTTGGGTTCTATCAAATATTCCTTTTTCCTAAGAAATATCAGATAATATCAACATATATAATGAATTGGAGAATCGCTAGTTGGAAGGCATTTGGACACTTCAAGATGAAAATCAGGAAATTGATGTACTTTAACTTTAAGGCATAGTTAAATTTTCTAATAATTCTATTATTTATAAAGGCTTTAGCCATTATGATAAGTAAGAAGAATATTTTTTTGGAGAAATATTTCTTTATAATGTAAGACTATTCCAGATGTAATATCTCCATTGTATTAAAGGAAATGGATAGGTTTTGGAAACATTAATACATAAAGATAAAATTCTTTAACTTGGCACAAATGTGAAAATGAATATATTGTTTCAATATAGTTAGATAATAATACTAAACAAAGAATGACATAAAATTGATTCTTCTTCTTGAGTCCAACAATAATTAATTACCTTTATGCAACTAAAAATTAAAATTTTCTACACGATAAAGCAATTAAAAAGATTAACTATAATCAATTTTACTTGGGAGTTTCACATTAATTTTTTGTATCTCTTAAATAGCATCAGTTGTAATATTTTTAAAATTTGTTTTGCACAAAGCAATGAAACTAAACTAAGTAATATATGAGATATCTTTAGCTGTCTATGATAGCTTTATTTTTAAAGTGTCGAGGAGTGATTTTTATAGCTTAATACATTCTTATATAATTTGTAAATAATTGCCTCAATTTAGGATAAAATTTTCAATATCTATATTTTTTTGGCCTTATTGATAATTGGTGTTGGATTATGTGGAATCTGGGTGGGTTAATTGCCAATTTTATTAGAATAAAAGTTTAGAAAAAAACGTTATTGTTAAATTTATGATAGACATAAATATCTAATAATTACATGTAACCATTTTAACTAGCCTTAGTTGCTTATAATATAACATTTGCTGTACTCCTTATAATTAATATTTTTTGTTCTGATTCTTTGGTATTTCAACTAAGCTATGCTTTTGTTCTTTTTCCTCAAGTAATACACAATATTAGATGGAATTGTAAAGAGAACTTTAATTTATTTTATATTTTTGGATATTTGTCATCTGGATTATTATTTTAAGTATTTATTTCATACTAAAAAATAGACATATTTGAATTCCTATTCAATTCAAACTAATTCTATAGACATCGATTATCTATATATATCATTATTTTACATTATTTATTTCACATCTCTTTTGCTTCTTTATTTACAATACAAATTTGGATCAAGATGTTTTATACCTAAATGTATATTGCATAAACATATCTCAATTTGTGCCATATGTTTGGATTCCATTGCTATAGCTGATATGGAGGATCGACTTTAGTTATTGCCAGTTATATTAACATCGTGTAAACACAAATTTCATGAAAAATGTTTAAGAAAATGGTTACATGAGAAAAAAGAATGTCCTTTTAGTAGAACAAATTTAAATGAGATGAATTTGCAAATAATTAATTGAATTTATATATGATTTGTTTTTAGAATTAAATCTTTATTAGAAATGTAAAATTATAAATCAAAAATAAATAATTGTGGATATAAAATTTTCAAATCAAAAATCTTCAGAAGACCAATTTAAGAGTAAAATCTTTATTAAATTAATTGAAATTGACTCCTTAAATTATTGAAAACTCCTCATTTATCCATTTTTCATAAAATTTATAATCACATCTCATACAAAATGCTAGTTAAAATCTTTATAATTTATACAAATTTATATCTAAATGTCATATTGATTTTTTAATGCGAAATGTTCTTTTAAGGTCAATTTAGTTCAAAGATTATTTTGAACTTACTGAATAGTTAAAATTTTGATCTATTAAAACTAAAAAGTAAAATAAATTACATCCATATTTGATATGACATCCCTTTTGATGATATTTACAATAATTGCTCATTAATTTTAGGATGTATAATATGAACCTAACTTATGTGTATGTTCAAATTGAGTTTTATCTGCAAAATTATATAATGATAAATCCCTAGAATGTATTAATTATTAAATTAAAATTTTTGAATTAAAACCCAAAATTTTATTTTTTTTATCATGAACAAATAACATATTTATTATTTAAGATTGATATCTTTTTATAATGTAGTAAATATAATTATTTCAAAGTTAGTATTAATTATATATTTTTAATTTTAACATCAATTTACATTTTATATACATTCTTATTATGATATTGTAAGATATTGATAATTTATTTATTTTTTTCAATAAAATGAAACTAGAGTCAGTCAGAGAATAAATGATACCTTTGTAAACAATTCTAGTCAATCAATATATTTAATGGTGTATGATTAACTTTTGATAAACTTAAGTATCAGATTGATATTACAAATAGAATTAGAATTGTCCTCCCATAACATATAGATATAATAAATATTCATAATACTTATGATTTTATTATATCATTTAACTATCGATTATATATACTGTAATTTCACTAGATATTCTACTTATAAATCAACTGAGAATAAAAATTTTTATTGTTTGTTTGATTTCTTTATATCTTTCTGAAATACAAATGATCAATTATTAATTTAGGAATCCTAAGTAAAGGGAATAGAAATAAAATATATTGAAATACCTTGATGGTTTCGATTAAGATATTTTGTTATTTTATAAATCTTGGCTAATGACTATTTTGATATGTAAGCAAAATTTAAAAGAATAGACAAAAATATCATGATATAGCCAGACCTATGATTGAATGACATTAAATGATAATTATTAGACTATTTAAAACACGTTTCTTGTAAACAAATCATTTATATTAAATATCGAAAGTGATGTAATAAAAGGAATTCGAAGAGACAATTGAAGAAGTCAAAACCATAAAGGCTATCACCCCAAAAGTAGAGTGAATACATAAAATAAAAATAGGAAATTAAAAAGATCGTACGACCTTAATTTGAAGCAAATCCAGAGTTGTTTTACCCCACTAAAGTTTTTGATAAATTTGGGTTTAGCAGATGCAAATGTCCAAAATGTGGAGCATATTTTTGGAGACACACAGAAAAGAAGACTACATGCGGAGATTCAAAGTAAGTGAAGAAATCAATATTTTTAGTTGTGAAGGGAAATACTCTTTTATTGGTGTAGGGACAGGTAAAGGAGCCAAAGGAAATAAAATAACATATGCCGATGCTTGGAATGGATTCAAGAAATCATTAACAAGTGCTAGAGTACCATGCACAGCAATTGATAGATATCCAGTGGTGGCAAGATGGAGAAATGATGTTGATTATGTAGCAGCAGGAATCTATTGTTTCTAACCATTTTGTGTAACAGGTGAGATGGATCCACCAGCAAATCCTTTGATTTGTCCATAATTTTGTGTGAGATTCAATGATCTCGACAATATTGGTTTAACAGGAAGACATTATTCAGGATTTATCATGCTTGGTATATAGACATTCAATTATCCTGACAAATATGTGTTCTTTAAGGAGGAATGTGTAGAATTCAACTATAGATGGTTGACTGAAGAGTTAGAAATCAATCCAGATGATATTACATTCATTGAAGATGTTTGGGCAGGAGGTGGAAACTTGGGTCCATCAGTAGAATACTTCGTCAATGGATTGGAAGTAGGAAACATGGTGTTTATGCAATACAAATATTTCCATGATGGATCATACGAAGAATTACCAATTAAAATCATAGACACAGGAATTGGATTGGAACGTATCCCTTGGTTAGTCAATGGTACACCTACAAGTTACTTCGATGTCTTTGCTGGGGCATTTGCATTCTTGGCATAAAAGTTATAAGTTGAATATTCAAACGATGTTTGGAAAGCATTTGGACCATACAGTTGTCTATTGAATGTTGATGAAGTAGAAAATGTTGATAAGACTTGGGAATTCATTTCATCATAAATTGGATATGATGTCTAAACTATTAAGAAGGAAATCGAACAATTGAAGGATATGTATATCATTTTGGATCATACACGTACTGTCATGATGGTAGTAACTGATGGATCATTACCATCAAATGTTGGTGGTGGTTCCAATATTTAGAAATATCATCAGAAGAGTATTTGCAGTGTTGAAGAAGAATAATTGGTGGGATAAATTAGGAATGGATGGATTATTGTAATTGTTTTAAGAACACAAGAATGATTTGGCTAAACTTTATGGTCCATTTGGTGAATATAAGAGTTTTGATTAAATTATCAAATAAGAATATGAAAGATGGGCTAAAACAGATGATGATAAAAAAGTTAAATTAGAAAAATTATTGAAATAAAGGAATAATCAATTAAGTATTGATGATTGGATCTTTGCTATGAGTACTCATGGAATACCAGCTGATACTATTAGTCAAATTAGTAAATTGCCAATCCCTGGTAATTTGTATGCTGAATTGGCAGATAGAGCAGCCAGAATTACCAAAGCACCTGAAGCTATTCTTTATAACACAGTTCATTTACAAGAAACTACTAATTTATATTATCAAACACCAAAAGATGGTAAATTCTAAGCTAAAATTGTTACTATATTCAGTAATGTTTAATAATAGAATCTTCCTAACATTGTGATTTTGAATCAATCTGCCTTTTATCCATTTGGTGGTGGTTAAGATTTCGATTAAGGTTGGTTAACTATTTAAGGAGAGAGACATTTTGTTAACAATGTATAAAAAGTTGGCAAGGTTGTATTACATATCTTAGAAAAACCATTACCAAATGCAGTTGATACATATGTTGGTTAAGAAGTGTAAGCTGAAATTGATTTAGAAAGAAGATCAATTTTGAGAAATCATCACACAGCTACTCATATTGTATTTGCAGCATGCAGAAGAGTACTTGGTCCACATGTTTGGTAGAATGGTGCTCATAAGAGTGTTCACAATGCACATCTTGATATTACTCACTTTGCACCATTGTCAAAGGAATAAGAATAAGCCATTGAGAATGAAGTCAATAAAATCATCTTATCTGCAAAACAAATCAATAAAGGATTTATGAATAAAGCAGATGCTGAAAAAGAATATGGATTCAGATTATATCAAGGTGGTATTGTACCAGGAAATGAATTAAGAGTTGTAAATATCGATGGAATAGATGTTGAAGCTTGTTGTGGTACCCATTGTGACAGCACATCAGAAGTAGGTTGGGTTAGAATTCTTAAGACTTAGAAATTATAAGATGGTGTTGTTAGACTCTATTATGTTGCTGGAGTGAAGACCATTGAAGTGTTAAATTCAGAGGGAGAGATGATTAATTCATTGGTCAAGTTATGGTCAATTTCTAAGACTCAATTGGTTGAAGAAGGCAGCAAGATTTTCCAAGAAAAGAAGCACTATGAATCTGCATATAACGTATGATATCATTTAATAATAATAGTAACTCAAGGCTGAATTGATCAAGTCATAATTGAAATATGTTATTGATGGTCCAAACCAAAGAACAATTATACAATCTACTGAACAAAATCCAACTGCTTACTTCAGTGAAATTGGAAAGTATATTCAATAACTCAAGGATTCCAAGAAGGGTCTATTGTTTGTTGCAGACACTTTCATCTACGGAGCCTTTGGTGAAAATAATTTCAACGTAGAGGAATTGAGCAAATAAATAGAAGAAGAAGGATAACAATTGAAAATGAATAAGTAAAATAAAATCAGTGTTAAAGATGGAAAGGTATAGTAATATAGTTAAATAATAGAAAACTATCCAAGTGAATGATGTGTTAACATTCTCCATCTTAGGTAAATTCAATAAGAATAAAGCATCAAAATATCTTAAAGAACAAGGTTTTGTTTAATTTTGAGATAAAAAAATTTATATATATATAAATATAGATAATTATAATCTTGAGTAATTTAATAAGTATTCCTATAAGAAATGTATTTTTAGAATATTTATTATTCTCATTAAAATTAAAAATTGATATTAAATTTAAAACCAACTCATTTTATTTAATGCTGGTAATTGAACTTTCTACTTTTTACTATAATCTGTTTTTTCAGCTGTATTGAGATCAAGTGACATTATTTTCAATGCCATAGATTTTTCATAATTACCTTGGACTTTAACGGGATCTGGACGTGTTAATAAGTTATTCAAACTAAATACTCATTAATTGTTAATACGTGCTCTTCGACCATTTCTCTTAGTATGTTGTTGTCCAATGTTAAGATGTAGCTAAATCGGATTAACGCATCTAAATAATTAATATTCACATACTTTGAGTTCATATTCAGTTTAGTTTAATCTACTTATAAAAGACTATTCATATTTATATTTTAGATCTCTATTTATAACACTGATTTTGATGAATCCAAAATCTATATTTAAATTATGCCCCAATCTGGTGAGATCATGAATGGCCTTTATCAATGAGTTGTGTATAGATTATACAACATCCTTACCTAAATAACTGAAATCATTAATATCATTCTTACCAAGATGCAGCAATGGGTCCAGCATTGCAGAAGTTCATTCCAAATCCTTTTTGATATATTGAATGTTAACTCAAAGGCTTGGTTATTTCTTCCTTTCCAGGATAACGAGCCAAAAAATATTTAAAAGAATTGTCAGGAACAAAACATGGCCTTGATCTATAATAATGATGATCTACCTAATCTGATGGACATGCTTTCTATCTGCTCTTTGAATTGCCAAATCTTAAGTCATATTAAATCCTGAATGTTGGAGTGGCTTAACATAATCTGAATTAACCTCCATTGTAAATGCTCCCAGCTCTTTCATATTGACACCCTTAAGTAATCAGGTTGCATTATTACATTTCCACTAAGCATTTTCTCCTTAATGTATTCTGCAGTAGCCTTAATGACTATATGAAATTGAGCTTTTGCTTCAAGTGGCTTATAAGATGCAATAGTTCTTGGCTAGGATTCTTGGTGTTTCCCTGGGTAGTTTTGATTATGGCCAAGAATCCTGTGATTTCAATACTCATATATACCAATTATAGATATCGTCAAGGTTCATGAAACTGATTCTGATGTTTATTATATATATTAATAATCATAAATATTATGTGGGATTTTTTGTAATTTTCTCATTCTCTGAAGGTAATTCATCATGTTGAATATTCTTCTAGTAATCATAAGGTTCTCTCTCATAATTTAAATTTAAAAATAAGTAGAGTCAGGATATTAAGATCAATGTTTTTTAGATACTCATCAACTTCCATAATTTCGGCTTGATTCCCACCACATTTACAACATTAACTAAGAGCAGAGCATAATTTATATAAAATTTCTATCATTAGCATAGGAATAACTTAATCATTAACAATCTTGATTATTCGTCAAAAACTAATTGATGTTCTCTTAAAATCATCTTATATTTGTGTTTGGTTAAATTGCTTAGAGATGTTATTTCCAAAGTAAATCAAGCTTTTTTAGCTGGAATACCATATAATAGCTCATCAAGATCAATCCACAATATTCTGGCATATATCCTAAAATGAGTTAATCGAAGAAGAGATATATGATGGCAAAATACTTGATAATTCAGTTACTACAGTTAGGGCAAGTAATCAAAGAATTCACTTAAGTACTTCCACACATTAGTATTGCCATACTTTCTTGAGTATTCATTATAAAACACGCACTGATATTATTTGAATTTATTCGTGATTTCCTCTTAGTATTGTGATAATATCTCTATAATAAATGAGCACCATTAAATTTATAAAGCATCACCATTTTTTAGAAAATTATTGCACTTTTTAAGCTCTAAATACACTTATCAATTTAAATTCTTTAAGAAGAGGAGAAAAATACAGATTAAACCAAAATAAATCTCAAAACATAAAACAATAGAGAAAAAATATATGGGAAGAATTATTAGTACATTCCTTCAACAAATATTGAATCTTCAACAAATTAAAATGGAAATAAATATTTTAATAAGAATTTAGATTAGACTTAAAGAGAGTATCAAGACGATGGGCAAAAATGATAAAGACATAGTGGAACAATTACTCCATGCATTCAACATTAATTATTTTGTTTATAAATTATATTTATATTTTCCCAATAATTAAAATATTTTCATTAAGAGATTCTTTTTGCTTTACTTTGGTTTGATCAATTTTCTTAAGATTCAAAAATCTCTCCCTTAAACAGCTTCTAAAGTTTTTGATTTTTGTATGTTTTAATAAAAATTTTAAAAACATTTCCTCTAAATAGTATTAGACTTTGTTTAATTTCTTCAATTTTAATTGATTATTTTTTTTATTATAAGGGAACAATCATGAAAAGAAAATGAGGTAATCTAAATGACTTTTTCTACATTTAAGAAATAAGAAATAAATATGCCCTACCAAAAGTAAATTAAGTCTAATTTTCACTCAGGTGGAATTGCTATAGAGTACATAATAAATTTACTTCAGTTAATTGCAATGAAATTCTATATAACATAATAAGTTACTTTTTGACTTTTTGATTATCAACCCTCATAATTAGGATCTGGATAATTTATAATTAATTTCTGGTTAACAACTTTCCTATGGGTATGAATGGAAAATAAATTATGCTAAAAGGCAAGATTTTAATTGTCCTTCCAATCCTTTCAGATAGTTCTGATAAATCTTATATCTTGAAAAATTCATATGTGAATTAAAGAAATGCAAACAATTCCAAATTATTCAAATTAAAATCGATAATATCAAATTAGTATATTATTTATGTTAATAAAAAATAAAATCCCTCATAAATCCGAACCCTTTACTCTCTAAAGCCTATAAAAATGAATGAAACAAAGCTATGACCAGCTTTATTTTAATCAATTATAATCTATTTTTTTGATTTAAAAATACACCTTTTCCAAACTCTAAATTCTGTATTCTTATTAGTTTATGAATTGATAAGCTGGCTTCAGATATCTTCTGTTTATCAGTATTTTCAAGGTTGATCTTGAAATTTAAAATTGAATGAAAAGCTTTAATACCAATATGTTTTCAGGATTTATGCTATGCTAAATTTTATCAGGCACAAAGAACATTATGTTTACGCTGGAGATTATATTATAATAAAAATAGAAGAGTATGATGAAATCCTATCCTCTAATTTATTGCTATTTTTTTGAGAATCACACGTAAATTTGAAGGTTGTCATGCTTAAAACTAGCTAACATATATTCTAAATTATTTATCTAACATGTGTCTATTGCAACATGTCGATAAATTCAAATGACCATAACTCATCAAACATTCTTGAAAACTTTTAAAATAAAAATCACATTGTCTTAGGGATATGAATTGTAGATCAAGTACTAAATATCACTCACTTAAATAGAAAAAGATAAGGGAAAAAAAAATTTGTTTAAAAAAACATGAATAAAATTTCTCAAAGTTCAATAATCATTCATTTCATTCTTTAACATGAATTCTAATACTTTGAACACTGATTTAAGATAATTCATAAATTGAACAACCTAGATATTAATAAAAGTTAGGAAAAAAAAGAAAAATTAGATCTAAAAGGGAGATTTTCTCTTGATCATCTATATTGGAAGAATCTCAATCAAGGAATAAACCAAGAATTGGCTTCCTAATCTACTTTTATTGATGTAAATTCTTAATACTTGCTTTCTTAATTAAATATTGAAATTAAAAATTATTATGTAAATTTCTTGATTCGACTAATGATCCTTTTCCTTTTTAATATTTACTTATTTAAACTACAATCTAACGATGTGAGCCTGAAATATAAAATGTTAATTGCCAATATCTGTTGAAAGAAAAAAAGTTGCTAAGTGTAAGGTGATTATAAAATATTATATATTATTTAATTAATTACGTAATTAAAGAAATTTCAAGATTTAAAAAATTTATTAGTGAATTTTCAAATTCACTAATAAATTATTATTGTTAAAAAGGGATATTGAGCAGATCGTCTCTATGTTTAGATAGTATAATGTTAATTTGTTAATAAATACCTGAGTGATAATATTGGCAACCTTTTTATAAATTCATTCATATTAACTTTTCTTTTATTTCCTCTGGCAACAATGTGCTCAGAATACTTCTTTTTGTTTTTTTGTTTTATTCTAAAAGCCATAGGTTAAGTAATTTTTGATAAGAACAACTAATCTCAAAATTAAGGAAATTTCAGAAAATATTTTGTAAGTTCGTATGAAGTCAATTTCCATCATAATAATAAACTAATCAAAAAAGGGTTGTTTCTCTGTTTATTTAAGTTGAGAGCAGAGCCTTGAATGAATAATATTTTCTTGTTTTAATGTTTTTTACAGACTTGGAAACAGAATCAGAGGAAATCATAATAAAATATTTAATACAACAAAAATGTCATATCCAAGTGCTTTTAACTATTTTTTAGGATCAGAAAGTTATTTTCTTTTTTTCTCACCAAATTTCTCAATTTGAGCTGAAAAATTATTGTATTGTATAAATATTATTGATGTTAATTAAGAGTAAGATTAAATTCAGAATCAAAAAAATATCAATAAAAGTGTTGTTTTAAAGATAGGAAAAAAAATTAAACTTAAAAAAATAATTTAACTGGAATTTAAGAAAAGTAGAATGATAATACTTTAAATGAATAAATAATTCATCATATTTGCATTGTTGCTTGCTTATGCAACTTGTCAAACCTATAGTATAACATCATGCACATGTGCATAATTGTTATCAGAAGGAGATTGTTTAAAAAATGCATCCCTTGGCTGTTCATGGGATAGTACAAAGAAAGCCTGTGCAGTTTCTACTACTCCAGTCACTCCAACAGTGACTTATGCAGCATATTGTGATACATTTGCTGAAGCAGATTGTCCTAAAGCTAAACCTTGTACTGATTGTGGTAACTATGCTGCCTGTGCCTGGGTTCAAGGCAAATGCACATACTTCACTGGATGCACAGCTTTTTCAAAAACAACAGATGCTGAATGTTAAGCAATAAGTAATAGATGTATTACAGATGGAACTCATTGTGTTGAAGTTGATGCTTGTAGCACATATAAGAAACAACTCCCTTGTGTAAAAAATACTGCAGGAAGTTTGTGCTATTGGGATACAACAAATAACACTTGTGTAGATGCTAATACCTGTGATAAATTACCAGCAACATTTGCTACAGATAAAGAATGCAGAGATGTCATATCTACTTGTACAACAAAGACTGGAGGTGGATGTGTTGATAGTGGAAATAATTGCAGTGATTAAACATTAGAAATTCAATGTGTTTGGAATAAATTAAAGTCTACTGCATGTTATTGGGATGGAGCTGCATGTAAAGACAGAATTTGTGATAATGCACCAGCTACATTAACAACTGATGATACATGTAAAACATTTAGAACTGATGGAACCTGTACAACAAAAGCCAATGGAGGATGTGTTACTAGAACTACTTGTGCAGCTGCTACTATCTAAGCTGCTTGTGTTAAAAATAGTACAGGTGGAGATTGTTATTGGACAGGAACTGCATGTGTTGATAAGACTTGTACAAATGCACCAACCACAATGACAACCAATTCAGCTTGTGCTGGATTTGTAACAGGATGTATCACTAAATCAGGAGGAGGATGTGTCTCTAATGGTGCTTGTTCAGCTGCAAATGTTTAAGCCGCTTGTGTGAAAAATACTTCTGGTACTGATTGTATTTGGGATACAACATGCAAAGAAAAGACATGTGCTAATGCACCAACAACAAATAATACTCATGAATTATGTACATCATACTTATCATCATGTACAGTTAAAGTAGGAGGTGGATGTTAACCAAGAACTTGTGCAAATGCTCCAACAACAATAACAACAAATGATGCATGTGAAGCATATTTACCAAATAATAATTGTATAACAAAGACTGCAGGTGGATGTGTAACAAATACTACATGTGCAGTAATTACCTTAGAAGCTGCTTGTGTTAAAAATTCCTCTGGTGCTATTTGTTTCTGGGATACTGCAAGTTCAACCTGTAAGGATAAAATTTGCGCTAATGCTCCATCAACTAATACTACTCATGATTTATGCGTTGCCTTTTTATCTACTTGTACAGTAAATTCAACTAATGCAGGTTGTGTTGATAAATCATGTGAAAATACATTGGCATAAACTATTTGTGACAAAGATTTAAATAATAAAGTTTGCATTTGGAAAGGAAAATGTTATAAAAGAGAATGTGTATTAGCTTCATCAACCACAGCTACTCATGCAGATTGTTAAACATATGATTCTGGTTGTACTTTGAGTAATACTGGTACTGGATGTGTTCCTTTACCACTTAAATGTGAAGCAATCACAATTGAAGCAGCATGTAATATTAGATTATAAGTTACAAATGGAGTTAAATCATTCCCTCTATGTGGTTGGAATGGTTCATAATGTATTGATAAAGCTTGTTCCACTGCTCCAAAAACAACAGCAACAACAGCTGATTGTGGTACTTACAAAACCAATTGTGTAGCTAATAATCCAGTTAATGGATCAATTGCAGGATGTTAAGACTTACCAACAACATGTGCAGCTAGAAAATCAACTGAAAATTGTGAAATCACAAGAGTTGGATTCCCAACATGCTTATGGAATACTGCTACATTAGCTTGCGTTGAGAAATCTTGTACTACTGCTAGCGTTGCAACAACAACTGGATTCTTGACAGTTTTTAGTTCTTCAAATTGTTCAACTTATTTATCTACTTGTATTGCTAATAACACAGCAGATGGCTGCATTCCAAAACCATCAAGTTGTACTTCTTTAACTTCAACTAATTGCGGAATTGCTTCAAAAGCAAATGGAGATTGTTATTGGAATGGTACTAGTTGTGTTGATAGAACTTGTACAAATATTTCACAATCTACTCACCTTGGTTGTTAAGGTGTTTTGAATACATGCACAGTGAATAATGCAAAAACAACTTGTTAAAATTTAGCTACAGCTTGTACATCTTATGGATCTGCTGAAAATTGTAAAGTTACTTCTGCTGGAAAAAATTGTATATGGACTGGAACTGCTTGTAGAAATGCTACATGTGCAGATGCAGAAGATAGTAATACAAGAGATAGCGATTCTGAATGCTCAAGTTATTAAACTCCTTCTGATACTTGTACAGTTTTATACAAAACAGGAGGATTAGGATGTGTGACAAGATCAGCTAATTGCAGTGACTATGCATCATAAGCTTAATGCGTAAGAACTTTAGCAGCTACTTCAGATGACTGCACCTGGAAATCTGCATATAGCAAATGCTATTCTAATACATATCTTCAAGGTGCATGTTCAACATTTACAGGTACAAAAACTCAATGTGAATCTATTAAAACAGGTTGTACTAACACTGTTGGTGCTACAGAATCAGATGCTTGTACATTTTCTTGTGCTTTAATAACCCTAACATCTCATGCCAATTGTTAAACATAAAGTACTACTTGTACTGTAGATCAAGCAGGAACTACATGTTAAGCAGTTTAAGCAACATGTGCAGGTTATGGAACAACATAAGCTAGCTGTTCATTTAGAACTGATGGTTTGAAATGCCATTGGGATGGCACTAATTGTCTAGATATTACATCCACAAATTGTAATCTTATTACAGGATTGACAGGTCCAGCTAATGTTGAAGCAACTTGTTAAGCATATAATACTGCCTGTCATATTAATGGTACTCCTGATGGATGCTAAGCATACGTAGCCACTTGTGCAGCATATACAACAACATAAGCTAACTGTACAAAAAGAACTGATGGTTTGAAATGCTTTTGGGATGGCACTAATTGTTAGGATATTACATCAGCAAATTGTAATCTTATTACAAGTTTATCAAGTCCAGCTAATGTTGAAGCAACTTGTTAAGCATATAATACTGCCTGTCATATTAATGGTACTCCTAATGCATGCTAAGCATACGTAGCCACTTGTGCAGCATATACAACAACAGAAGCTAACTGTACAAAACGAACCGATGGTTTGTAATGCTTTTGGGATGGCACTAATTGTGTTGATATTACATCAGCAAATTGCAATGCTCTTACAAGTTTGGCTACTCCAAATAACACTCATGCTTATTGTTAAGGACATAGTACTGCTTGTACTATTAATAAAGCTCTGGGTGCATGTTAAGCAGTGTAAGCAACTTGTGTAGGATATGCAACTACAGAAACTAGCTGTTCATTTAGAACTGATGGTTTGAAATGCCATTGGGATGGCACTAATTGTCTAGATATTACATCAGCAAATTGTAATCTTATTACAGGTTTGTCAAATCCAAATAATGTTGAAGCAACTTGTTAAGCATATAGCACTTCCTGTCATATTAATGCTGGTGCAACTGCATGTTTTGCTTTTACCACATGTGAAGCAATTACAGGCACGAATATCACTTGGGATATTTGTTAAGGTTACAGTACTACTTGCAGTGTAAAGAGAGATGGAACTGGTTGTGTAACAAATCAGGCTTAATGTTCAGGTTATACTACAATTGCCAATTGTTATAGATCAACTGCAGGATATTGTACTGCTAATGCTGCTGATACTACCTGCCAAGCTATAACAGCTACAACTACTTGTGAATAGATCAAATTAGGAGCAGGATTTACTTTTGATGACACAAAATGCAATACTTTCAAAACTGGTTGCGTTGCATAAGGAACTTCAGGATGTTAAACAAAGACATGTGCTAATAAAACAACACCATTTGCTCATACAAATTGTAATACTTGGTTGAATACTTGTACTGCCAATGCTGCTTCATCACCAACTGCATGTGTAACATTGCCAACCACCTGTGCTAGTTAGACTGCAGCAGCATGCGTTTGGGCAGTTGAAGGTGAATGTGTTGTTTCAGGAACATCTTGTGTCAGAAAAACCTGTGATACTGCAACAGCAGATACAAGTTATGATTCACATGCTGAATGTATTGGATATCTATCTACTTGCACCGTTGCAAGAGTTGGAGGTTGTTAAGCAAGAGCTGCTTGTTCCGCATATAAATCCAGTTAATAATGTAAATTCAATACAAGTGGTGGAAAATGTTACTGGAATCCAACTAATAAGAATTGTGTCGATTTGAATTGTGGTAATATTGAAGCTACAACTTCATATGATACTCATGCTGAATGTGTAGCAGTTGATACAACTTTACTTTGTACAGTTAGAGCTACAAATGGAGCTGCCGTTCCTGGTTGTACTGCTAGAGGAGCATGCAGTTCTTATTCAATTGAGGATTAATGCAAAACTAATGCAAGTGCAGGGTATCTGTGTTTGGAATACTAATTTAACTACACCAGTATGCTAAGATAAATCATGCACAACTGCTCCAACTGCAACAGCAACACATACTGACTGTGATGCCTACTTTTCCACAGCTACTATTAAATGTACAGTAGTTGCTACACCAGATACAAATGGTGGTGCACCAGTTCTAGGAGGTTGCTAATAAACAGCAGCTTGTTCTACTTATATTCATTAAGAATAATGCAGATTCAATGCTACAGGAGATCCTTGTGGATGGAATGGTACTTAATGTGCAGATAAGTCATGTGCTACTGCTCCTGCAACTGCTGATTATGATGATAATGATAAATGTAGAGCTTACTTTAATAATAAATGTACAGTTGCATCTACAGGATAAGGATGTGTTGATATACCAGATACATGTGAAACTATGACTGAAAAATAATGTGTTACTGATAAGAATGGAAAATCATGTTATTGGAATGGAACTGCTTGTATTACAAGATCTTGTGAAAATGCTCCAGAAGCAACAGCTACTGCTGATGAATGCAATACTTATTTAGCAGGATGTACTTTAGATTCAGTAAAATGTAAAACAAAGGTTTGTGAAGATTTTGCTTTTGCTACCGATGCTCTCTGCAAATCAGCCTTAAGCACATGTACAACAAATGGAACAAATTGTGTTACAAGAGGAACATGCTTCTAAGCTTAAAGCCAAGCAGGTTGTGTTACCTCTGTAACTAATCAATAATGTGAATGGATGCCAGTTGTTGGTACAAATCCAGCTTATTGTACAATAAAGACTTGTAATACTGCCCCAGTTACTTTAACTTCTGAAGCAGCCTGTGCAAGGTTACTTCACAAATTGTACAACAAAGAATGGTGGTGGATGTGTTACTAAGTCTACTTGTGCAGCTGTTACTATTGATGCTGCTTGTACTACTGCCCTTAATGGAACTGTTTGTGCCTGGGATAGTGCATAAAGTAAATGCAGAGATAAAGATTGTTAAGATTTCAGTGGAACCACTCATGCTGCATGCCAAACCTAAAGAGCTGGATGTACTGCTGGTGCCAATGGAAAATGTGCAAGAGTTTAAAATTGTGAATAAACTACTATCAGAAGTGCTTGCATTGAAGGAACTAATGGACCATGTTTATGGATTAATGATTATGTTAATACTGATGGATCAAAAGGAGCTTGTTTCAGATATACATCATGTAAGAGTTTGAATTGGAATTCAGATACATCATGTAAATGGATTAGTAATTAATGTACAACTAATGGATCCAATTGTGTTGGAATTACTTTATGTTCTGAAACTAATACTGATGGTGGATGTGTTACAGGATATGATGGAGCTTGTATTCAATCAGTTCCAGCCTTGAATTCTTCAGATCCAAAGGTTTGTAAACCATATACATCTTGTGCAGATGCATTCTACACAACTCATTCAGATTGTTAAATTGCTAGTAAGAAGTGTACAACAAATGGAACAACTGGTTGCATCGCTTTAAGTGCTTGTTCATCTTATACTACATAAGCAGGATGCTATTTCAATGATAAAGGAGTTCTTTTAACATCTGGAGCCATTACTTCAACTGGTATTTGTACTTGGGATACAACTGCTAGTAGTTGCAGAGATTAATCATGTGCTGATTTGACTGGAACAACTCATGCTACATGTTCATCATAATTATCAACATGTACATCAGATGGAACTACATGTTTAATTAAAGGAGCATGTTCATCATACACTACTTAAACTGCTTGTACAACAGCTGTTGGATCTGATGGTATTTGTTATTGGGAACTTGCATCTGCTACAAATAATAACACTGCTAAATGTAGATTAATGACTTGTGCTGATATTCAAAATGGTACATCCACAAATGTTTGTTCAGTTGCTTTATCATCATGTGTATCAAATGGAACTGCTTGCATTTCAAAGGCTAACTGCTCAACATATACAACAAAGACAGCATGTAATTCAGGTGGATTAGATGGTATTTGTGTATTCACTTAATCAACTGCTACTGGAGCTGCTGCTGGTACTGGAACTTGTGCTTTAATGACAGCATGTACAATAGCTAATAATGATTAAATTGCTTGTTAAGCTGCTAAGGATAGATGTTCATGGACTGCAGCCTCAGGAACTGGAGCAACTGCAGTTGCTAGTAAATGTGCCACTCATACTTGTGCTACAAACTAAGCCACAAATGGTGCTTGCACAAGATTCTTGAATTGGGATAAAAAGACTTAATAAATTTGTACTCTTGTTAGTGGAACATGTACAGCCACAGACCCATCAACTTTATCATTAAATGATTGTTTCTTGGTTTCTGGATACACATATACATGGAATGCATCTACTAGCAAGTGCGGAGTCTGCACTGCTGTTGTTGTTTAACCAAATAATACAGATAATAATACAAACAATACAAATAATGAAACAACAACTGATTCAGGATATATTCTAGGATTATCAACTATCGTTTTTGGATATCTCATGTTCTGATGAAAATGATTTAATAGATTTATATAGGGAAAATTATTATATTAATTAAAAAAAAATTATTAGGATGTTTTGATAATAGAATTGTTTATCATTCTTATTTACAAACATTTCGTTCACTATAATGTTCTATGAATGTTAAATCATAAATTTCTCTTAATTAAAACATTTTTTTTGATTGAGACATTTGATTTATCAGATATAAAATGATTTTCAGTTTGATCTATTCTTCTTAAATCAATTAGTTTAGTTTATTCATCATCCTATTCTAAAAAGGATGAGCTGAGTATATTAAATGATTTTTGATTAAACCAAAAGAGTGTTTTTATTAATGCTGATATTCTATTTTCATAGATATCCTTTTTATTGAGTAAAGGCTTCACTTTCTAATTATTATAAATTTTTGAATAAAATTAATTGATTTAATATATTAATATGGAAAAGAAATCTTGCAGAATGAATAGAAAGGTAGAAAATTCAAAAACTAAATAGAACCAAAAAAAGACTTGAGAAAAGGCTATAAAATGAAATGGCTTTAATAATGCTAATGTTAAGTAATTTAATAAAATATTTATATATTATAGAAATTTTATATATGTTGGATAATGATGAATTTAGTTATTTGTTCAAAATTATATTGATAGGTAAAGTAATTAAATAATGATTAGGTGATTCAGGAGTGGGAAAGACTAATTTATTCAATAGATTGTAATATAAGGATTTTTAATATGATACTCGACCAACTATAGGAGTAGAATTCTTAAATAGGACAGTTAGAGAGGATGGTAATTTGATAAAGTGTTAGATATGGGATACAGTTAAGTAATATAAATGTTGTATAGAGCAGGATAAGAAAAGTAAGAGAGATTAAGATAACTCTTAGATTTAGAGCAATAACTAGTGCTTATTATAGAGGAGCAAAGGGAGTGTTTGTTTGTTATGATGTTACAAAATAAGGAACATTTGAATCAACATTAAGATGGATGAGTGAAATAAAGTAATATGGAGATTCTAATATTGTGATAATGTTGGTAGGAAATAAAATAGATTTGGCAGATTAGAGAGTATGTCTTATAATTGATAAAGATCGTAAGGACTGATGAAGTCTCCTAATTCTGTGATTAAAATAAGGTAGGATACGTAGAAACCTCTGCACTGAATAATGTTAATGTGGAGCTAGCATTCAATTAGATGGTTACAGGTAATCAATGAATTCTGATAACATAGAAATATATAAAATTGTCTAAGGATAGAAACCAATAAGTTAAACTAAATTAGGAATCAATGATGTTTATGTGCTAAAGAAAGAAACACAGCCAGATTCATCTAAGAAGAAAATGCAATGTTGCTGAATAATATGATATACACTACTCAATTTATGAATTATATAACATAAAAGAACCCCTTCTTTTACTGTATTTCGTATATATAACTTCATATTGTACTTCTATTATATGAATAGATCTATTAGATTTTATTGATTTTATTTTTGAGATATATTGAAATTATGCAAAAATAGTCTTACTGTATTGAACTTTTAATTGTGATCTACCTCAATAATTCATATAATAATTTTTACAATTAGGCAAAGAAAGCATTCGACTAATGATTAATTTTCTTATGACTTTTTTTTTCATTTGTTGAGATTTAATATAATATGACACATTTAGACCAGAAATCAGAATTATTTTCAGATATTTTCAATAACGGTTTATTTAATAAAATTTGATGATTTATAACAAAATGAAAAGATTATATTTCTCTTAAACCTTATTGTCAATACAATCATTTCAAGTCTGTACTAGTAGCATCTGTAAATATGAATCCAAATAGCATAATATGCTTTTTAAAGATTTCACACACTTTCCAATAGAGACACCATATTTTTTTGATGATTTTTAACTATTATATGTTAATTCAAAAGATATATATATATAATTTATATATATCTTAAAAAAAATATTAATATATATAAAAATTATCCGAGCTATAAGCTGAACAATAGGGAATATTTCCAAGTTAGCTAAAACCTAGAATGGTATATTAGGAAGAAATAGATGTTGGCATAAAACACAATTAATAAATAGTCAAAAGAGATGCATATGTGTAGGAACAGAAGGGAAAATTTAGAGGGTAGTTATAAAAATGATTAATTAAAACGACTATCCTCTTGAAATAAAGAAAAATCTATGAAGAAGATCCCGAAAGAGACAAGTTTAGAAAACGGGGTTTAAAATATGACTAAAAGTTTAGTTAAAATAATTATTAGAGAAGTGAAGAAGTAGATATATTACAAAGAGATGGTTGGGATAATTATTAAGACATTTATAAGCTTTTAATTGGTAATAATTAATAGGAAAGAAAAAAAAAACAAAAGGCATAGGAAGAAAAGCCGAATGAATATGAATACCTTGATTACATTGCAATATACCAGCTAAAATAAATTATTCTAATATGTATGTTAATGCAAGAAAAGATATATATTCTAAATTGAATAATAATATGAAGTAAAAGAAAGGGGTTGAATGAAATGAAGTAACTGAAAAGTTAAATACGTTTAATAATGAAGTTGATGTGACGAAATTGGTGTTGTTTTTTAATCATAATAAATCTAGATTTTAATAGGACTAAACTTTATAAGTATAATATGAGAAAATAGGAATAAATGTTGATTGATCGGATAAAAAGGGTTAGGACAATAAATAGAGATTTTAACTAGAAGAAAGCTAATGTTCAAAATTTAAAAATTCTATTAAATATATTGATATCACTTACAAAAGTTTGGTAGAATGAAAGGATACATAATTTACAGATGACGTTCTACTTTTTCTAAATCAGACGATCATAAATCACTTTATTTACTGAGGTGTCTGATCATTATAAAATCTGTGTAGAATTGGAATTTAAGGCGTAAATGGATAAAAATAGTATATATTATAATAACATATAAAAATTTCAAGCATATCAAATAGAATCTAAAGGCTTTGAGATAAAATACATTTAAGGACTACTTTGAGTATGCAATTATGGGTCTGAATTAAAAAATAATTTATGTTGAATAATTCATTGGCCTTTCTGGGTTGAGGGCGAAACAACATTAAGCCGAATTTATATTAACTTGAGTAAAAAATTAGATTATTAATTTATTTTTTAGAAGACATTTTCTTTGCTGGAGGCCAATTAGATAGTTGGATATGTGGAATCCACGTACAATGCCCTTATCTTGAAAAACTACTCTGCCTGAACTAACATCTTCAGTAATTTCCTGCGATCTATTGCTAAAATGTAGCATTGGAAAAGTAATACCGAATTGATACTAGCCAGAATTAAATAGGGTAAAGAGTAAGACGGAAGAAGCTCTTAAAAAAAAAGAGCATGCCGAGAACATAAAAATACATAAATGATTTTTGTAAAAAGGTCACTTTTTCGGCTTAGGATAACTAGATACGCCTAAAAATATATGGAATACCATTCTTACAAAATTAAATTAAATAATATATTTTTAAAATTTTAATTATTACATAGAACATTAGCTAAGAATTATGAACTGTTAAAATTAGAAGCTGCCTTTGGAAAGCGAAAATATTTTTACTTGGTTTCATTAAATCAAAACTAAATTTATATATAATATAATTTGTTATCTAACATATTTGCTATTTAAATATTATGAATTAATAAATTGCTGAGGAAGTTATCTAGGGTAAATGCTAATCGGTTATTCCCTCTATTGAGTAAGCTTATATTGGTCTCTAAATTTAATGTAAATATTTGCCTAAAATTACTTCATCAATCATATCATCAAACTATTTATTGAAGGTTTTATTCGATGAATACTATGTACCAGAAACAGAAAATATTAAATTGGTGTGCTTTTGAAAACAGTGAATATATAAGTTTTTATATTTTGTTGATGAAAGTCTAATTGAAATAAAATCAAAGTTGGGGCATAGATGAAAAACAATAACCTGATAAATGATGGGCAGTCAATGTTCTGTTATCAATCGAAATTGATTCAAATTTACTTAAGAAATATAGCACTTAAAAATTCATTTAAAACAGTTCACGTAGGAGTAAATGGAGTAAAGTAATGACATAAATAATAGGAAATCAATTCTCTTGATTTAACTTAATGCAAAAAAGGTATAGTTAAAAGATTTTCTGTGTTCCAAAAAAAGATAAATATTATTACATAAAGTTAGAGAGGTAGCTTTTGTTAAAAAAAGAAGCACAAAAAGATTGAGAGAAAAAATAATCTATGGTTTGGATCGAAAGAAAATGTAATAATTATGAATACAAAAAACATCATTTATTGAATACATGTAGTCCTTATTAAAAGATTGCAACTTTCATTCTTAAGATTAGTCCCTTTTTCACATTTTAACATTTAAATTAGGCATGCTTTTAGGATTGTCCAGAATTAATTTTCAAAATTGGAATAAACCAGCCTTTTAGTGATTTGCTTGAAATTCCTACATCTGATTTGATTAATATTTTTTTAGTTGTTAAATTTCATTAAGGCTATGCTTCCTTTTAATGTTTTTATGTAGAGATAATTATTTATAATTAACTTGATATTTAAGGAACAAATCCATTTTAAGTAATATTTATTTTATATTCAAATTTAATTAAATTATAAACTTATAACACAGTTAAACCAGTCCTTTGGACAATAAGTCTTGATTGTATAAGTATTTTATGTAACTTATTAAATTATCCAATATTCAAAATAATACTGCCTGAAAAATAATCATCAAAAATAAATTTCGATGATAAATTAGATACAGTTTTGAATAGCTGTTTTAGAATTAGATTAGATTAAAACTTTTGGGATAGTTATTAAAATACTTCACTAAGATTTTCTTTTTTTTAAGATTGAATAAGATTGGCGGTCAGAAAAGAAATTGTAGATTAATTTTCTTTAAACATTAACGGGTGTTGCGATTGCTTTAAATTTATAGAAAAATTGATGGTAATAAATCATATAGAAGAAACAAAAAGTAAAAATAATAATCATTTATGAACAGCAGAAATTCTTCAGTTATAAGATTGAGTTAATAAAGTTTAAGATCATCCAAATTAAAATAGATGTTCACATATCACTTAATAATATAAATATAAAGTCATTTTTTATTTACCTTAGTAATGAATACTTGAAGTATAATTAAAAAAGAAGTATTGTTTTCCTCCTATGATTTTCTTATTATCTGTAAATTTTTTTCTTCTTTAATAGAGTTAGTTTCTAAAGGGTCAGATATGGAAATGTTTTGTAGGAATAAAAAATATATCTAATGATCTAGATTAAATTTCTAAACGGAAAAAAGTTACATTTATTTATGAAATTTTAGATATTTTTAAAATAATACTAATAAATTACAATTAAAATGTATTTTATTATAAAATTCAACTTTAGCATATAATTCTGAGTACAAAAATAATGAGATATTTAATTTAATTGGTTTTATTTTTCTAATAATAATTACTTTATGACCACATTATAAAAATAAATATATTTAAAACTTTAGATGATTGTATACAATATTTATAAATAACAGTTTTCAAAAAAAGTTTAATATTAAAAGAGGAAAAATTAGGGAATATTTATTTAATGCTTAAAGAAACCTATTTAAAAGAAGGTTCTCTAATATTAATAAAAATTTACTTAAATTGTTTAGGTATTCATAAATGGAGAGTGAATTATTTCTTTTTCATCACATATGTCATTTGTATCACTAAATATCATAATTACAGAATAAAAATCAAAGTTATTACGAGGTAACACTATTTTATTCATTTTCAAAGTAAATACTTATAATGATTCGGATTAAAGATATATTTTCTTAAATTAATTAGTTGTAACAATTAAATATAATAAGACCCATAACATTGAACATAAATTCATGTTTTTGATAATGTTAGGTTTTATTTTAAAAAGTGACAACCTCAAGAATTCAATAAATCAAATTTAAATATATTAAACTCTCGATAGGACTCGATTGATCCTACTATTTTAATGAAATTCTACTTTAAAATTGATGATATGAACAATAAAGCTGAGGGTAAATATATTATTTATTCCTTGGTACCATAAGAATCTTTAATATCAGTAACAAAAGAAAAATTTAGTATAAGCAGTATTAACTTATAGTCATTGCTAAAATTATTCAATTCTTCGTTAGTTTATTTTGATAATACTTATATAATTTCTTTAATTTCATTCTTCATAGTTAACTTCCACAATTTACCCTCAATTTAATTAATTAAATGAATTAGATCAGATTATATTTTTCTGTTTTAATGAGTAACTAGAGTATTCTGAAAGACGCTTGTTGATTAGATTTAAGATAATCAATGAATTAACAAATATTCTCATTTTATATATGAAGATTTTTACAATTGATATTTCTTAGTGTGTTAATTAACTATATATTATTTATATAATTGAGGGTTTATTTTTCATTTTAAAAAATTAGAATTTTGTAAATTAATATAATATTTTCCCTATATAAATTTATTAAATCATTTCATCAGAACATGAGATATCCAAAAAACGATAGTTGATAATCCTAGAATATATCCTGAATCAGTTGTTGTTTCATTATTTGTATTGTTTGTATTATTATCTGTATTTATTTGGTTAAACAACAACAGCAGTGCAGACTCCGCACTTGCTAGTAGATGCATTCCATGTATATGTGTATCCAGAAACCAAGAAACAATCATTTAATGATAAAGTTGATGGGTCTGTGGCTGTACATGTTCCACTAACAAGAGTACAAATTTATTAAGTCTTTTTATCCCAATTCAAGAATCTTGTGCAAGCACCATTTGTGGCTTAGTTTGTAGCACAAGTATGAGTGGCACATTTACTAGCAACTGCTGTTGTTCCAGTTCCTGATGCTGCAGTCCATGAACATCTATCCTTAGCAGCTTAACAAGCAAGTTAATCATTATTAGCTATTGTACATGCTGTCATTAAAGCACAAGTTCCAGTACCAGCAGCAGCTCCAGTAGCAGTTGATTAAGTGAATACACAAATACCATCTAATCCACCTGAATTACATGCTGTCTTAGTTGTATATGTTGAGCAGTTAGCTTTTGAAATGCATGCAGTTCCATTTGATACACATGATGATAAAGCAACTGAACAAACATTTGTGGATGTACCATTTTGAATATCAGCACAAGTCATTAATCTACATTTAGCAGTGTTATTATTTGTAGCAGATGCAAGTTCCCAATAACAAATACCATCAGATCCAACAGCTGTTGTACAAGCAGTTTAAGTAGTGTATGATGAACATGCTCCTTTAATTAAACATGTAGTTCCATCTGATGTACATGTTGATAATTATGATGAACATGTAGCATGAGTTGTTCCAGTCAAATCAGCACATGATTAATCTCTGCAACTACTAGCAGTGGTATCCCAAGTACAAATACCAGTTGAAGTAATGGCTCCAGATGTTAAAAGAACTCCTTTATCATTGAAATAGCATCCTGCTTATGTAGTATAAGATGAGCAAGCACTTAAAGCGATGCAACCAGTTGTTCCATTTGTTGTACACTTCTTACTAGCAATTTAACAATCTGAATGAGTTGTGTAGAAAGCATCAGCACAAGATGTATATGGTTTGCATAGCCTTTGGATCTGAAGAATTCAAGGCTGGAACTGATTAAATACAAGCTCCATCATATCCTGTAACACATCCACCATCAGTATTAGTTTCAGAACATAAGGTAATTCCAACACAATTAGATCCATTAGTTGTACATTAATTACTAATCCATTTACATGATGTATCTGAATTCCAATTCAAACTCTTACATGATGTATATCTGAAACAAGCTCCTTTTGATCCATCAGTATTAACATAATCATTAATCCATAAACATGGTCCATTAGTTCCTTCAATACAAGCACTTCTGATAGTAGTTTATTCACAATTTTAGACTCTAGCACATTTTCCATTGGCACCAGCAGTACATCCAGCTCTTTAGGTTTAGCATGCGGCATGAGTAGTTCCACTGAAATCTTAACAATCTTTGTCTCTGCATTTACTTTATGCACTATCCCAAGCACAAACAGTTCCATTAAGGGCAGTAGTACAAGCAGCATCAATAGTAACAGCTGCACAAGTAGACTTAGTAACACATCCACCACCATTCTTTGTTGTACAATTTGTGAAGTAACCTGCACAGGCTGCTTCAGAAGTTAAAGTAACTGGGGCAGTATTACAAGTCTTTATTGTACAATAAGCTGGATTTGTACCAACAACTGGCATCCATTCACATTATTGATTAGTTACTGAGGTAACACAACCTGCTTGGCTTTAAGCTTAGAAGCATGTTCCTCTTGTAACACAATTTGTTCCATTTGTTGTACATGTGCTTAAAGCTGATTTGCAGAGAGCATCAGTGGCAAAAGCAAAATCTTCACAAACCTTAGTCTTACATTTTACTGAATCTGAAGTACATCCTGAAAGATAAGTATTACAATCTTCGGCTGAGGATGTTGCTTCTGGAGCATTTTCACAAGATCTTGTAGATACAAGCAGTTCCATTCCAATAGCATGATCTGGCAGTCTTATCAGTAACACATTATTTTTCAGTCATAGTTTCACATGTATCTGGTATATCAACACATCCTTATTTCCTGTAGGATGCAACTGTACCATTTATTATTAAAGTAAGCTTCTACATTTATCCATTATCATCCATAATCAGCAGTTGCAGGAGCAGTAGCACATGGATTTATCTGCACCATTAAGTACCATTCCATCCACAAGGATCTCCTGTAGCATTGAATTTACATTATTTCTTAATGAATATAAGTAGAACAAGCTGCTGTTTATTGGCAACCTCCTAGAACTGGTGCACCACCATTTGTATCTGGTGTAGCAACTACTGTGCATTTAATAGTAGCTGTGGAGAAGTAGGCATCACAATCAGTATGTGTTGCTGTTGCAGTTGGAGCAGTTGTGCATGATTTATCTTAGCATACTGGTGTAGTTAAATTAGTATTCCAAACACAGACACCTGCACTTGCATTAGTTTTGCATTAATCTTCTATTGAGTAGGCACTGCAGGCTCCTTTAGCCATACAACCAGCAACAGCAGCTCCATTTGCAGCTCTAACTGTGCATGTTGAATCAACTGCTATACATTTAGCATGAGAATCATATGAGGATGTAGCTTCAATATTGCCACAACTAAAGTCAACACAATTCAGATTGGTTGGATTCCAGAAACATCTACCTCCACTTGTATTGAATTTACATTATTAACTTGATTTATATGTAGAACAAGCGGCTCTTACTTAACAACCTCCTATTCTTGCAACAGTGCATGTAGATAGATAATTTGAACATAGAGTATCAGTATTAAAACTTGCAGCTGGGGAAGCTGTGTCACAGGTTTTTCTAACGCAAGCTGTTCCTGAGACAACGCATTCGCCTTCTACTGCCCTAATGCATGATGCTGATGTTTAACTGGCACATGTGGCTGGCATAGTTATGCAAGCACTTCCTGCTCCATTTACAGTACATGTAGGCAACCAAGCGTTACAATCTGTATGAGTAAATGTTGATGCTTTATTAGCACATGTCTTGGTTTAACATCCTGTGGTGCTTAAATTAGTGCAACTATCCTTAAATGAATTACATTTGCTATGAGAATAATTGCCACTTCCTAAATACAAAGCATCACAATTTGTTGCTTATGTTAAGGCAACACAGCTATTATCACCACTATTTGTAATACAGAGTCCTGCTGTAGATCTATAACAATTGGCTACTGTTGATCCGTATCCTGAACATGTAGCTTGAATTGTTACACAGCCACTTCCATCTCTCTTCACACTACATGTAGTACTATAACCTTAACAAATAGCCCAAGTTGTGTTTGCACCTGTAATTGCTTCACAAGTAGTAAATTAAAAGCATTCAGTTCCACCAACATTAGCAAAACAACTAGTGTGATATGCTTAACAAGTGGCCTTAGTTGCACCAGTCAATCCTGTAACAGAAGCACAATGTGTGGCAGCAAAATCTATACAGACTTCACTACCACCCACACTATCATCCCAATAGCATCTTGAGCCATCAGTTTTTATTGAACAAGTAGCACTGGTTGTATAACCCGCACAAGTTGCTTTTGATTCTTGGCATGCAGTTCCATCAGCATTAACAGTACAACCAGTGTGATAAACTTAGCAAGTGGCATGGGTTGCATCTGTTAATCCTGTAACAGAAGCACAATTTGTGACGGCAAAATCGCCACAAGTAGTTGAAGCAGTTACCCAAAAGCATCTTGAACCATCAGTTTTTATTGAACAAGTAGCACTGGTTGTATAACCCGCACAAGTTGCTTTTTATTCTTGGCATGCAGTTCCATCAGCATTAACAGTACAACCAGTGTGATAAACTTAGCAAGTGGCATGGGTTGCACCTGTTAATCCTGTAACAGAAGCACAATTTCCGACGGCAAAATCGCCGCAAGTAGTTGAAGCAGCTACCCAAAAGCATCTTGAACCATCAGTTTTTCTTACACAATCACCTGAAGCTGTATAACCCCCGCAAGTTGCTGACAATGCAACACATGCAGTTCCACCAGAATTTATCGTACAAGTAGTACTTTATCCTTAACAATATGTATGAGTATTATTTGGACTTGATAAAGAAGCTATTTTAGCACAAGAAAATGTGCAAGCATCTGTTTCGACTGCAGCCGCATCATTAGTACAACCTGCTCTTATGGATTCACATTAAGCTTTTGTTCCTTTATAAGTTGAGCATGCAGCCTAGTTATATGTACTAGAAAAGCATTTGGCATACTCTGAATTCCATGTACAGTCATTGGTACTGGCTCCAAAAGTTTTAACACATTAAGCTTATGATACATAGTCGCTGCAATTAGCTGATCTTGCTACACAACCTGCTCCACTAGTTTTGTATAAAACTGTACAAGTTTCAGTTGGTGTAGCATAACCTGAACATTCACTATCATCATCAAAAGAATCTGTATTTGATGCATCTAAACAAGTTGCATTTCTACAAGCTGATCCAGTCCATATGCATTTTTTTCTGTTAGAGTTTATTACACAATTATCAGCTAAACCATATGAACTACAAGCTGCTGCTAAAGGTTAACAAGCTGTTTTAGCATTATTGACTGTACAAGTATTCAATACTTAGCAGGCTGCATGAGAGGTTAATGGCATATTTGTGCAAGTTCTATCAACGCAGGCATTGGTAGTTGTGTTCCAATAACAATCTCCATTTACTTTTGACCCTGTTGAACAATTTTACTAAACTAAACCTGAGCAAGTAGAGGGTTTAGCTATGCACCCGTCTTAAGCATTGTTGGAAATACAACTAGGAAGATATCCTGAACAACCATTCAATGTAAATTATCCTGCTGTTAGTACACCTGGTGTTCCTGTTTAACTAGCAGTTGAACAAGATTTCTCAACACATGCTAATGTAGTAGTATTCCATAAGCATGTTGGGAATCCAACTCTTGTGATTTCACAATTTTCAGTTGATTTTCTAGCTGCACATGTTGTTGGTAAATCTTAACATCCTGCAATTGATCCATTAACTGGATTATTAGCTACACAATTGGTTTTGTAAGTTCCACAATCAGCTGTTGTTGCTGTTGTTTTTGGAGCAGTGGAACAAGCTTTATCAATACACTATGAACCATTCCAACCACATTCTGGGTAGGATTTAACTCCATTTGTAACTTATAATCTAATATTGCAAGCTGCTTCAATTGTAATAGCTTCACATTTAAGGGGTAAGGGAACACATCCAGTACCTGTATTACTCAAAGTACAACTATTATGATAAGTTTAACAATCTGCATGAGTTGCTGTAGTTGATGAAGCTAACACACATTCTTTTTTATAACATTTTCCTTTCCAAATGCAAGCTTTATCATTCAAATCTTTGTCACAAATAGTTTATACCAATGAATTATTGCATGTTTTATCAACACAACCTGCATTAGTTGAATTTACTGTACAAGTTGATAAAAAAGCAACACATAAATCATGAGTAGTATTAGTTGATGGAGCATTAGCACAAATTTTATCCTTACATCCTACACTTGCAGTATCCCAGAAACAGGTAGCTCCAGAAGAATTTTTTATACAAGCAGCTTCTAAGGTAATTACTGCACATGTAGTATTTATTACACATCCACCTCCAGTCTTTGTTATACAATTATTATTTGGTAAATATGCTTCACAGGCATCATTTGTTGTTATTGTTGTTGGAGCATTTGCACAAGTTCTTGGTTAACATCCACCTCCCACTTTAACTGTACATGTTGATAAGTATGATGTACATAATTCATGAGTATTATTTGTTGTTGGTGCATTAGCACATGTCTTTTCTTTGCATGTTGTATCCCAAATACAATCAGTACCAGAAGTATTTTTCACACAAGCGGCTTAAACATTTGCTGCTGAGCAAGCACCATTAGAAACACATCCTCCTCCTGATTTAGTGATACATCCTGTTACAAATCCACCGCAAGCCGAATTGGTTGTCATAGTAGTTGGTGCATTTGTACAAGTCTTATCAACACATGCAGTTCCTGTCCAATAACAATCTCCATTTGAACTATTTTTAACACAAAGCAGCTTAGATAGTAGCAGCTGCACAAGTGGTTCTAGTAACACATCCTCCATTGGCTTTTGTTGTACATGTTCCATCAGTTCTAAATGTCTTACATGTATCATCAGTTGTTAATGTAGTTGGTGCATTATCACAAATTCTGTCTTTACATGCAGCTCCATCCCAATAACATGCAGTAGACTTTAATTTATTCCAAACACATTGAATTTCTAATGTTTAATCACTGCAATTATTTCCACTATCAACACATCCACCTCCAGTCTTTGTTGTACAAGTTGATATGACATCTCTGCATTCTTTATCTGTAGCAAAACTTGCTGGTAATTTATCACAGGTATTAGCATCTACACAAGTGTTATTTGTTGTATCCCAATAGCACAAACTTCCTGCAGTATTTTTTACACAAGGGAGTTGTTTCTTATATGTGCTACAAGCATCAACTTCTACACAATGAGTTCCATCTGTAATACATCTATTACTTATTGCTTAACATTCAGGATCTGTTGTTTTTGAAAAGGCTGTGCATCCTGTGAAGAATGTACATTTTCCTGAAACCCAGGCACAGGCAGCATAGTTACCACAATCAGTACAAGGCTTAGCTTTAGGACAATCTGCCTCAGCAAATGTATCACAATATGCTGCATAAGACACTGTTGGAGTGACTGGAGTAGTAGAAACAGCACAAGTTTTCTTTGTGCTATCCCATGAACAGCCAAGTTAGGTATTTTTTATACAATCTCCTTCTGATAACAATTATGCACATGTGCACGATGTTAGACTATAGGTTTGACTAGTTGCTAATGTAAGCAACAATGCAAATATTATGAATTATTTATTCATTAAAAGTATTATCATTAGACTATTCTTAAATTCCAGTTAATTTAAACAAAAATAATAATAATTTATTTTATTTAATATAATACATTTTATTTTTTATTTAAATTTCATTGAAGATTTATTTTTTCAGTTAATTGTCATGATTAATTTATTTATTTTTTAGAATAGAATCAGAATCTCAGACTGGAACATTCAGAAGCAGAAAAATAACCTATATGAAGTTAAAATTATAGGTAATCGAAAAGTAAATATTTTTGAATCATTACTTTGCACTGACTTTATAGGAGAATACTCATTTACAAATTACAATCTTGAGAAAAAATGTTACTTTAATATCCATAATATTAGTCGTATTTTCTTGCACTAATGTAGAATATGGATAAGTAAGGAATAAATTAAGGAGAAGAGTTAAAAGAAGAAACACTTTAAATTTAATATATTTTGAAATTCTTATATTAAGTTTGAGCAACTTATGCATTTGAGGGTAGATTAAGACATCAACTACCTAAACATCATTCTGAAGATTTCAAGTTCACATATGTACTTTGATAAAGTCACGTTTTCGTCTGATTTATATTAATGTTCTATAAAAACAAAACAATATAAATAAGCGAATTTAATAGCATAGAAATTTTTAATATGCTTTTATGGTTAACTTCTAATGAAATGGGTATCAACATTTTTAATATATATAATACAACAATAATTTAAATTTGATCCTAATGCTCTCTTTCAGTCAAGATTTCAATCTGATCGAAGTTATTCAAGATACAATACATTTATTTATCTAATCTTAGAGCAACTTTAAAATTTACAATTTCTAGAATATTCTTAAAATAGCAATTAATTTCATAAATATTGATAATATAACATTTGGCATTAAATCAATTATCACTTGAAAGAATTGCTTATCTGATTTTTTATGTGTGCACAACTTTATGCAAATAAATTTTAAGGGTATTTACAATATAATTCTCATTTTTATTTTCAAAGATTGCTCAACTATTCAAAAAATATTTTGCCTCGTTTTAACATTATTCTTTTTAGATGGTTGCGAATATAAATGGCTATACCGCGGAATTATTTTTCTCTCAAATATTATTTATTGCATTCTTTAATCTATATTTGATTAAAAATAATATACTAAAATGATATTAATTACTTTATAACCACATTATAAAAATAAATATATATTTAAAATATTGTTGATTATTTACAGAATTTATAAATAACAAATTAAAAAAAGTTCAATATAAAACCATGAAAATTAGTAAATATTTATTTAATGCTTAAAGTAACCTATTTAAAAAGAATTTTATCTAATATTCAGTAAATTTACTTAAAGTTTTAGGTATCGAAAAACAAATTATGAATTAATTGTTTTCATCACTTATATTATTTATATCCATAATTACATAGTTAACATTACATTTACTAGTAGGTAATCATGTATAATTCAACTTCATTAGAACTAAAATAATCCTTACTTTTTTTCTGAAACTCAACCATAAAATAGGCTCTATAAAATAAAGCTGAAGATAAATTACTTATTTACTCTTCGGTTCAATAGGAAGTATAAATCTCAGTAAAAAATGAAAAATTAATTTAAAAAAATTATAAACCTACAGTCTTAGCATAAAAATTAAAAATAATATATAAAAGTAAATCTATATTAATAATTCATCAAGAAAGTTTTTTATCCTATTTTATTTACTCTTTAATCTATTAATAAAGAGTATAGTCTTATTGAACTCTATAATAATGTTATTACAAAAGAGAAGAATTTGATATTGAAGAAAAGAAAATCTTAATTAAGACTTTAACTAAGATTTGAAGTTTTTTTCATAGAAGAGGATGATTGTTAGTTCACATGTTAATTTAATCTTCTGAAAATACTTATTAATGTATTATTGATAATTCGTTCCATTAATATTTCAGGATATTTTTCTCTTTTCAAATAAAACCATTCTTGTTATACCAAAACATAAGTGCATGATTTATCATATCATTTTGCTTAAGCTAAATTTTTATTTTGCCATATCAGAGCAATCAATTTGAATATAATACCCAGTTTTAGAGTGTAAGTTTCAAAATATTCACAGATGAGAATTATCCTCAATAGATTAAACTCAACTATTAACCTTAACAAAATAATCCACAAAATGTAACTTGATTAAATAATCTATCAAATTAAGAATTGCTGGAAAGCTAACATTTAATCATTTTTATAATAAATTCCTTTCAAAAATTTTCCCCCTTACCTTATTTAAAAAACCCATCTTTTCCTAAATAATTATGATTAAAAAATATTCCCATCCCATAGTTAACTTTGATTAAATTTGAGCCATTATAATTACATTGCCCTTAGTGAATTTGCTAACATTATCTGCTACACTTGTTCAAAGTTAAAATAAATCTTTGATAATTTATCGCTATTTAATTGAGGATTTATATAATGCGAAAGTTTTACTTTAGACTTTCCTTTTCAATAGAAGATCTTCTATAATTTAAATTTAAACAGAAACTTAAGTTTAGAATATACTGTAATTAAAAGTTCCTAAAATGAAAGAGCTCTAATACCAAATCTTTTTTTCCATATTTAACTTAAAAATTAAATATTTTTGAAGATATTAACTCAATGATAAATTTGAAATACAAAAATAAGTGCTTATTGAATAAATGTTTGTTTACAATCGTATTAACAAATAAAATCATCTGTTTTTGGGAGTATTATATGCTTTAAAAATTAATATTGTCTTAAAGCATATATAATCTGAATTTCCAAATAATCAATAACATCTTGTTTCTATCACTAAGTAAGAAATAATATTTTAATAAAAACAGAAATAATTTACTAATCTACATATTTTAAAAATATTAATCAATTATATTTTAAATGGATAATAATTATTCCCAATACTCAAGTCCAATGCATTTACTCTCTAATGTTGCTTTTAAAAAAGCTATTCTGTATAATAGCAATGGCAATCGAAGCAATTTAACTGGATATAAAAAATTCTAATCTGTAAATGAGTATTAAAAAAGATTTTTCCCTCTTCTTTAAAACGAATACTATAGGTCAATTGCTAGAGATAAAAAGAGCTTTCTATATGGACTACAGGATGGAGAATCATTTCCATTAAAATTAAAAATTATTACATGTGAATTAGAGGATAATGGTCCATTCAAAATTAACATTGAATCTGAATTAGAAGAATTGGATCCTAAAATAACTAAAAAATCATTATGGAAATACAGACATTATTCTGATTACTTAATTTTCAAAGAGTCGTCTTCCTACATTGGAGCAATATATATGAGGAATTTAGATTAATTAAATGACTATTACACATCTTTGGCAATATTTAGAAAGAAAGATGATGATTAGCACATTTTGGTCCCAAATAACATATTTAAATATTTCCCTGTTGACATATTAGACAGCCCATTTATATATTTTCAACCATTCTGTCCTTTAAGCGCCTACCAAACAGAAACAGATTGCCTATTTTTATTATAATAATGTCCTTATTTTGATTTGATATTGAATCCGATCGAATAATTAAATCAGGTACAAACTTCTGAATTTGCCTAATATGTAAATGAACAACGATAGTATTATATTTAAAATGAAGTATTTAAAAGACATTTTAATGAAGAACAATTACTTGCCATCAAGATGGCCTTGGATTATCATCAAAGAGTAAATATAATAATCTATCTAAGTTTACTCTTATAAAGGGTCCTCCAGGTACTGGTAAAACCCAAACTATTTTAGGAATTATATCAATAATGGCAGACCTACTGGTGCAGAAAGATAAAGAAAATGAAAAATAAGGGGGAATTTTAGTTTTAGCCAAATCAAATAGTGTGGTAAATGATTTAGTAAGAAAAATTCAAAAAAACATTGAAGAGTAGAATTCAATTATTTATTGTTTTAATTAAAAGCCAGATTTCTTAAAAGTTATTCGGTTTGGAAGACCGGGTTTGTGTGAGTCAGATATTGAAGAAAATAGTTTAGAAATTCTATCTCAAAAGCAATTCTTTTAATAATTTACAAATAAAGTAAGCTAGATTGAGAATAAGCATATAACTGAAGAAATCCAGAATATGTTGAAAACTAAAAACCTAATGGATTATAAAGAATTTTTATTAATTTATAAAACATAAATAACACTGATTTCATTATTAAATTTTATAGATGATCTAAATAGATAATGTAAGAAACCAAAAATATTAAATGCATATGGTAAATTTTATGAAGAATTATCTTAACTATTAAAAACAGAAAAAAAGATATATGAAGGTATTGAATAAAGTTAGATTTAAAATGTAAAATATATTATAAAACAATTAGTGTCGTGTTATAGTGTCTACTTTAAATAGTTGCACAAAGGAATGTTTAAGATCTTATTTTGAAAGAGTTCATTTTCGAATGTGTATTGTTGATGAAGCACCTACAGCTTTGGAACCCTCATAATTGATTCCAATGGTGAAATACACTAATAATTCAGAAGATAGTGTTGCTTGGTGACTTAAACTAATTAAGTCCAATTGTTGTTTCTAGAGAATCAAAAGATTATGGTTATAATCGATCTTTATTTGAGAGATTGGCTGATGGATTAAATTAAAGTACTGTCTAGTTGTTTTCTTAATACAGACAAATGGAAAATTTAGCTTAAATTACTTCATAATTATTTTATGATGGAAAACTCATCAATGGTATTAAGAATATGTAGTTGCCGCTTTGGATATTATAGAAGGTGTCCAATAAAAAAAATAGATTATTTTTTAGTGCTCCCCCTAACACAGAAAGTAGGGATGAAACAAGCAGAAAGAATGATTTAGAATGCTAAGCAATTATTCATTTAGTTAAATATTTATTATAGGGTTTGGATATACAAGAACATAAGAATCCAATTACTGTTATAAGTTGTTATGCAGCCTAGAAAAAAAAATTTATAACGAAAATTGTAGGATGAAATATTCCAGGAAGGAACTGATATGAGAGGCAATAAGAAAATCATAAAATTAAGTGATTTGATAGAATTAGATACAGTTGACTCCTTTTAAGGGAAGGAGAATGATATAATCATCTTATCACTTGTACGATCTGATGATTAGTTAGGCTTTGTTACAGATAAGAAGAGAACTAATGTTGCGCTCTCTAGAGCAAGATATTGTCAATATGTATTTGGAACTTACTAAACAATGTCGAAAAACCTATTGAATTGGAATAAACTGTTGAAAGTACTTGATCCGAAATCAGAGATAATTAAATATAATTAATAAGATTTATCAAACCCAAATTTCTTTCAAAGCATATTAAACGCAGAATGAAACTCATTAAAAATTACACTATTTATTTTTATGTTTATAAATTATTTCATAAAATAGAAGCTTCTTAAACTTTAATTTAGAAGTATTCTTAATTTAAAAGATTTCTGATTTTTAAAAAATAGTTTAATATGTGAAAATAATCAAATTTATTATATTATATTTGGTAAGCTAAAGTTGAACGCCTTTTGGTGAAAAAATATCTAACAGACCTATTTTGAAGATAATTGTATAGATTTTATCTATTCATTTAAACATGATTTATACTACAATTAATATCTAATTTTAAGAGATTATTATTCTAGATTAATATTTTGTAGAAATGGTATTTTGACTTTTTCAAAGTAATCTTTCTTTTTATTGTATTTCAAAACATTATTCAATTCTATTATTAGAATAACGATTTAGTTGTTTGAAGAAACTCGCTTATAAAATTTCTATGATTTCATTACTCAGAGTAAAATTCCCCCCACTTTCAACTCCATTCAATTTAATAACTGAATTAGCAGAAATTTTGGCTTTTAATCAAGGTACCTAAGCTATTGCTAAAGGTTATTATATTGATCAAATTAAATTTAATTTATAAACTAACAAAAATAATATATATGTGAAGATGTTTATTTTCAATACACAATCTAAGGGTTTAAATACATTTCAAAATTAAAAATTTTTAAATTAATATAATATAATATTTTCCCTATATAAATTTATTAAATCATTTCATCAGAACATGAGATATCCAAAAACGATAGCTGATAATCCTAGAATATATCCTGAATCAGTTATTGTTTCATTATTTGTATTGTTTGTATTATTATCTGTATTATTTGGGTAAACAACAACAGCAGTGCAGACTCCGCACTTGCTAGTAGATGCATTCCAAGTATAAGTGTATCCAGAAACCAAGAAACAATCATTTAATGATAAAGTTGATGGGTCTGTTGCTGTGCATGTTCCACTAACAAGAGTACATATTTATTAAGTCTTTTTATCCCAATTCAAGAATCTTGTGCAAGCTCCATTAGTAGCTTAGTTTGTAGCACAAGTGTGAGTGGCACATTTACTAGCAACTGCTGTTGTTCCAGTTCCTGATGCTGCAGTCCATGAACATCTATCCTTAGCAGCTTAACAAGCAAGTTAATCATTATTAGCTATTGTACATGCTGTCATTAAAGCACAAGTTCCGGTACCAGCAGCAGCTCCTGCAGCAGTTGATTGAGTGAATACACAAATACCATCTAATCCACCTGAATTACATGCTGTCTTAGTTGTATATGTTGAGCAGTTAGCTTTTGAAATACAAGCAGTTCCATTTGATACACATGATGATAAAGCAACTGAACAAACATTTGTGGATGTACCATTTTAAATATCAGCACAAGTCATTAATCTACATTTAGCAGTGTTATTATTTGTAGCAGATGCAAGTTCCCAATAACAAATACCATCAGATCCAACAGCTGTTGTACAAGCAGTTTAAGTAGTGTATGATGAACATGCTCCTTTAATTAAACATGTAGTTCCATCTGATGTACATGTTGATAATTATGATGAACATGTTGCATGAGTTGTTCCAGTCAAATCAGCACATGATTAATCTCTGCAACTACTAGCAGTTGTATCCCAAGTGCAAATACCAGTTGAAGTAATGGCTCCAGATGTTAAAACAACTCCTTTATCATTGAAATAGCATCCTGCTTATGTAGTATAAGATGAACAAGCACCTAATGCAATGCAACCAGTTGTTCCATTTGTTGTACACTTTTTACTAGCAATTTAACAATCTGAATGAGTTGTGTAGAATGCATCAGCACAAGATGTATATGGTTTACAAACCTTTGGATCTGAAGAATTCAAGGCTGGAACTGATTAAATACAAGCTCCATCATATCCTGTAACACATCCACCATCAGTATTGGTTTCAGAACATAAGGTAATTCCAACACAATTGGATCCATTAGTTGTACATTAATTACTAATCCATTTACATGATGTATCTGAATTCCAATTCAAACTCTTGCATGATGTATATCTGAAACAGGCTCCTTTAGATCCATCAGTATTAACATAATCATTAATCCATAAACATGGACCATTTGTTCCTTCAATACAAGCACTTCTGATAGTAGTTTATTCACAATTTTAAATCTCTTGCACATTTTCCATTGGCACCAGCAGTGCATCCAGTTCTTTAGGTTTGGCATGCAGCATGAGTGGTTCCACTGAAATCTTAACAATCTTTATCTCTGCATTTACTTTATGCACTATCCCAGGCACAAACAGTTCCATTAAGGGCAGTAGTACAAGCAGCATCAATAGTAACAGCTGCACAAGTAGACTTAGTAACACATCCACCACCATTCTTTGTTGTACAATTTGTGAAATAACCTGCACAGGCTGCTTCAGAAGTTAAAGTAACTGGGGCAGTATTACAAGTCTTTATTGTACAATAAGCTGGATTTGTGCCAACAACTGGCATCCATTCGCATTATTGATTAGTTACTGAGGTAACACAACCTGCTTGGCTTAAAGCTTAGAAGCATGTTCCTCTTGTAACACAATTTGTTCCATTTGTTGTACATGTGCTTAAGGCTGATTTGCATAGAGCATCAGTGGCAAAAGCAAAATCTTCACAAACCTTAGTCTTACATTTTACTGAATCTGAAGTACATCCTGAAAGATAAGTATTACAATCTTCGGCTGAGGATGTTGCTTCTGGAGCATTTTCACAAGATCTTGTAATACAAGCAGTTCCATTCCAATAGCATGATCTGGCAGTCTTATCAGTAACACATTATTTTTCAGTCATAGTTTCACATGTATCTGGTATATCAACACATCCTTATCCTGTAGATGCAACTGTACATTTATTATTAAAGTAAGCTCTACATTTATCATTATCATCATAATCAGCAGTTGCAGGAGCAGTAGCACATGACTTATCTGCACATTAAGTACCATTCCATCCACAAGGATCTCCTGTAGCATTGAATTCACATTATTCTTAATGAATATAAGTAGAACAAGCCGCTGTTTATTGGCATCCTCCTAGAACTGGTGCACCACCATTTGTATCTGGTGTAGCAACTACTGTACATTTAATAGTAACTGTGGAGAAGTAGGCATCACAATCTGCATGAGTTGCTGTTGCAGTTGGAGCAGTTGTGCATGATTTATCTTAGCATACTGGTGTAGTTAAATTTGTATTCCAAACACAGACGCCTGCACTTGCATTAGTTTTGCATTAATCTTCTATTGAATAAGAACTGCATGCTCCTCTAGCAGTACAACCAGGAACAGCAGCCCAATTTGCAGCTCTAACTGTACAAAGTAAATTTGTATCAACTGCCACACATTCAGCATGAGTATCATATGAAGTTGTGGCTTCAATATTTCCACAATTCAAATCGACACAAGTCTTATTAGTTGGATTCCAGAAACATTTTCCGCCACTTTTATTGAATTTACACTATTAACTTGATTTATATGCTGAACAAGCAGCTCTTGCTTAACAACCTCCAATTCTTACAACGGTGCAAGTAGATAGATATGAAATACATTCAGCATGTGTATCAAAACTTGTATCTGCTGTTGCAGTATCACAGGTTTTTCTGACACAAGATGTTCCTGAGACAGCACATTCACCTTCAACTGCCCAAACGCATGCTGCTGCAGTTTAACTAGCACATGTGGTTGGCAATGTTACACATGCAGTTGGTGATGAAGCTGCATTTGCAGTACAAGTATTCAACCAACCATTACAATCTGTATGAGCAAATGGTGTTGTTTTATTAGCACATGTCCTCGTTTAACATCCTGTTGTTCCTTATGTTATGCAACCAGCTCTGAGTTAATTGCATTTTACGTCACTAAAAGTAAATCCTAATCCTAATTTAATTGTTTCACAGGCAGTGGATTCTGTTATAGGTTGACAGATAGTATCAGTACTGTTAGCAGTACAATACCCTGCAGTTGATCTATAACAATTTTCAATTGTTTTGTATCCTGAACATTATGATTAGATTGTTACACAACCACTTCCATCCCTCTTTACACTGCAAGTAGTACTGTAACCTTAACAAATAGCCCAAGTGATATTTGTGCCTGTAATTGCTTCACACGTGGTAAAAGCAAAGCATGCAGTTACACCAGCATTAATATGACAGGAAGTGCTATATGCTTAACAAGTTGCTTCAACATTATTTGGACTTGTCAGACTTGTAATAAGATTACAATTTGCTGATGTAATATCTAGACAGGTAGGAGTAGTAGCGGTAGCATCCCAATGACATTTCAAACCATCTGTTCTAAATGAACAATTAACTTCTATAGTTGCATATCCTACACAAGTTGCTTACACTGCTTAGCATGCACCCAGAGCTTTATTAATAGTACAAGCAGTACTATGTGCTTAACAATTAGCATGAGTGTTATTTGGACTTGACAAACCTGTAAGAAGATTACAATTTGCTGATGTAATATCTACGCAGGTAGGAGTAGTAGCAGTAGTATCCCAATAACATTTCAAACCATCAGTTCTTTTTGTACAATTAGCTTCTGTTGTTCCATATGCTGTGCAAGGTATATGCCATGCTTAGCATCCATTAGGAGTACCATTAATATGACAAGCAGTATTATAAACTTAACAAGTTCCCTCAACTGCAGCTTCATGAATAAGATCTGTAATAAGATAACAATTTGCTGATGTAATATCTACACAAGTAGGAGTAGGTGCAGTTGCATCCCAATGGCATTTCAAACCGTCGATTCTATATGAACAATTAGCTTATGTTGTTCCATAACCTGCACAAGTTGCTTAAAATTCTTGGCATCCATCAGGAGTGCCATTAATATGGCAGGCAGTATTATATGCTTAGCAAGCTGCCTCGACTTCAGCTCCACCATTAAGAACTGTAATTAGACTACAATTTGCTGATGTAATATCTACACAAGTAGGAGTAGGTGCAGTAAAATCCAAATGACATTTCAAACCATCAGTTCTATATGAACAACTGGATTATGTTGTCCCATATCCTGCGCAAGATGCTTACGCTATTTAACATGCATTTGCTGCTTTATTTACAGTACAAGTAGTACTATATCCTTAACAATTAGCATGAGTTGTTTCGGATACTAAAGCACAAGAAAATGTACAAATATCTGTTTCAGTAGCACCTACAGTGTTAGTACAACCTGTTTTAATAGATTCACATTGAGTTTTTGTACCTGTAAATTTTGAGCATGCACCTTAAAGATATGTATTCGAAAAGCATTTGCTATAAGCGGATTTCCAGGTGCAGTCATCCGAAATAGCTGCTAATGTTCTATAACATTAAGCTGCAGATACGTAATCACTACAATAAGTCGATCTTTTTACACATCCTTATCCTCCAGTTTTGTATAAAACAGTACAGGTTTCATTTATAATTGAATAATTGGAACATTCTGAATCAGAATCATAAAGATTATTATCAGATGCATCTTAACAAGTAGCATTTCTACAGTCTACGCCAGTCCATATACATTTGTTTTTGTTTAAAGTTATGATACAATTTTCTTATTGTCTATAAGAATTACAATTATTTGCTAAAATTTAACAACCTGTATTTCCATTATTGACTGTACATATATCCAATATGGTTTAGCATCCAATGTGAGTAATTAATGCAAAATTTTTACAAGTTCTATCAACACAATTATGCCCATTCCAATAACAATTTCCATTTATTTTTGATCCCATTTAACAATTTTAAGAATTTAATTTTGAACAACTTGAGGGTTTAGGTATGCATCCATCTTAATTATTGTTGGAAATACAATTAGATAGATAATTTCTGCAATGATTAAATGTAAATAATCCTGCTTATACTACTACTTGTAATCCTACAACATTAGCAGTGGCACAAGACTTTTCTACACAAGCTAATGTAGCTGTATTCCATAAACATGTTGGGAATCCAACTCTTGTGATTTCACAATTTTCAGTTGATTTTCTAGCTGCACATGTTGTTGGTAGGTCTTAACATCCTGCAATTGATCCATTAACTGGATTGTTTGTTACACAATTGGCTTTGTAAGTACCACAATCAGCTGTTGTTGCTGTTGTTTTTGGAGCAGTGGAACAAGCTTTATCAATACACTATGAACCATTCCAACCACATTCTGGGTAGGATTTAACTCCATTTGTAATTTATAATTTAATATTGCAAGCTGCTTCAATTGTAATAGCTTCACATTTAAGGGGTAAGGGAACACATCCAGTACCTGTATTACTCAAAGTACAACCAGAATCATATGTTTAACAATCTTCATGAGTTGCTGTTGTTGATGAAGCTAATACACATTCTTTTTTATAACATTTTCCTTTCCAAATGCAAGCTTTATTATTCAAATCTTTATCACAAATAGTTTATACCAATGAATTTTCACATGATTTATCAACACAACCTGCATTAGTTGAATTTACTGTACAAGTTGATAAAAAGGCAACACATAAATCATGAGTATTATTACTTGATGGAGCATTAGTACATTTTCTATCTTTACATGCTAAACTTGCAGTATCCCAGAAACAGGTAGCCCCAGAAGAATTTTTAATACAAGCAGCTTCTAAGGTAATTACTGCACATGTAGTATTTATTACACATCCACCTGCAGTCTTTGTTATACAATTATTATTTGGTAAATATGCTTCACATGCATCATTAGTTGTTATTGTTGTTGGAGCATTTGCACAAGTTCTTGGTTAACATCCACCTCCTGCTTTAACTGTACATGTTGATAAGTATGATGTACATAATTCATGAGTATTATTTGTTGTTGGTGCATTTACACATGTCTTTTCTTTGCATGTTGTATCCCAAATACAATCAGTACCAGAAGTATTTTTCACACAAGCGGCTTAAACGTTTGCTGCTGAACAAGGTCCATTGGTAACACATCCTCCTCCTAATTTAGTGATACATCCTGTAACAAATCCACCGCAAGCCGTATTGGTTATCATTGTAGTTGGTGCATTTTTACAGGTCTTAACAATACATACAATTCCTGTCCAATAACAATCTCCATTTGAACTATTTTTAACACAAGCAGCTTAGATAGTAGCAGCTGCACAAGTGGTTCTAGTAACACATCCTCCATTGGCTTTTGTTGTACAGGTTCCATCAGTTCTAAATAATTTACATGTATCATCAGTTGTTAATGTAGCTGGTGCATTATTACAAATTCTGTCTTTACATACAGCTCCATCCCAATAACATGCAGTAGATTTTAATTTATTCCATACACATTGAATTTCTAATGTTTAATCACTACAATATTTCCACTATCAACACATCCACCTCCAGTCTTTGTTGTACAAGTTGATATGACATCTCTGCATTCTTTATCTGTAGCAAAACTTGCTGGTAATTTATCGCAGGTATTAGCATCTACACAAGTGTTATTTGTTGTATCCCAATAGCATAACCTTCCAGCAGCATTTTTTACACAAGCGGAGCTATTTTTTGTATGTGCTGCAGGCATCAACTTCAACACAATGAGTTCCATCTGTAATACATCTATTACTTATTGCTTAACATTCAGCATCAGTGTTTTTGAAAAGGCTGTGCATCCTGTGAAGAATGTACATTTTCCTAAACCCCAGGCACAGGCAGCATAGTTACCACAATCAGTACAAGGTTTCGCTTTAGGACAATCTACTTCAGCAAATGTGTCACAATATGTTTCATACATTAATGCAGAAGTAGTTGAAATTGCACAAACTCTTTTAATTCTATCCCAAGTGCATCTAAATGAAACATTTTTTCTACAGTCTTCTTCTGATAACAGTTATGCACAAGTGCATTATGTTATACTAAATTCTTGACTAGTTACTAAAGTCAATATCAATGAAAACAAAATAAATAATTTACTCATTAATAGTATTAAAGATAAATATACACACTAAGACAAGAAATGATAATATCTAATTATAAATCTTTAAATTTTTGATTTTGTAGTTAATTACTAAATATTACTTTAAAACTATTTATTTGGAGAAGAAACTATTAAAAAGTTAAAACTTATCTAAATTTTTATGACAATCATGTAGGTATTTCTTAAGTTGATCTATTACTTTCATCCAATAAAAATAAATGAATTCTTTTTGCACTACTCTAAATTAAGAGATTTAAAGATCCTTAATAAATCTTGTGAATATTTTTCTTGAAAATCATAAAATTTCAGAATCAAAAGATATTTCAGGTATCTTTATTTTTAAAACCTGTAATATAAATATAAATATATATAACTATCTAAAAGGATGAGATGAATTTCATTATTATTAAATTGGGAATAATAGCATTAACTTTTTCAAATATCTAGTTTAATTTATATTATACATACTTACAGAACTGTTTTTATTAGAAAATGATGCAAAATAATGATACTAAAACTTCAAAATATCTTTTAAATTGGTAATTACTAATGTCATAATAAAATAATTTATAAAATTAAAAACAGAAAGTTAGTAGTTCCAAAATTTAATTAATAATTAATATTTATTAATTTGAGAGAAATAAGGTCAATCAAGCAGCAAAATTATTTGCTTTTTGAATTATCGTTGATAATTGTTGTTATGGTTATATTTCTTGATTTTTATGAGTAATTACTACGGCTTATAGGTATGCTATCTATGTATTCAATTAATTAACTTTGTCAGGAAAGTTATATTTCAGAAATTATTAATTAACTTTAATTTACCTTCTTTTATAAATTAATCCTATTTAATCTTCAACCCAATTCTTTCTAGTTATTTTCATTATAAGTGAGTATTACCATAAACTTATTTCTTGTTTACCTATTTTTAAATAACAAATTTATTAATTCTATTGTTATAACTTTGCTATATATAATAACGATATTTAAAGTTAGAATATAGTTCTATTCTAACATAAAATATCTCTTTAGATTTATAATTTAAATTAAATGATTCCTAAATTCGACATTTTTTTTCATTTTGTTTCTTTGATTTTTAATTTAATAGAAGATAATAAATTATTGAGAAATTTCTTAAATCAAAGGAAAGTAGGGATTAAGTAATAAAAATTTAAAGACAAGTACACAACAAAATTAACATTCATTATAAAGTAAAAATATAAATACAAAAACAATATTTTATATTATAAATTATTTGTAAAACATCTATTCTAATCTCCTATCTTAATAAGTATTTATTTTTTTTATGTATTAATAATTAATTTGTCTATTATTTAATTTATTTTGCCTCTCTAACTGAAGAGGCACTTTCAATTATACCTTTAAGCCTAGCTTAGCAAATATACTTATTTCTTCCCTTTATTTATTAATAGTCCTGTTTAACAATATTAATAAAAATAAGTAACACATAAAACATTTGTCAGTTTTGCTTTGGTCACATATATACAATCAGTTGAGGCAGTAGTAATTGCAAGATATTTTTCCACTCGATATGCAATTATCCGAAGTTCCTGAAGCTACTAATGTAGTAAGAGAATTCTATGTTTAATACAGACTACATGTTTAATATCTTCTCTTGACATGCATTCTTTTTGCATTAGCTCCACAAGATGATTCATAAACTCCAAAATTTGTATCAATTAATCTTGTTCCAATAATTGAAGAATAATTAGAAAAACTAACACAATCAGAATTATCTAAGAAACTTTTTCCTTACAATTTTGTTGCACTAGCATTTGAATTTGTAAATTTTGAGCACTTCGCCTTAATCTACTAAGATCGAGTGCCATCTGATAAATATGAGCATATTAGATTATATGCCTAACACTTGGCATGATTTAAGGACCTTTAAAGTATGGTTATATATTTTAAATAAATATGAGTCTCATTTAACATAATGTATAAAAATATATCTTGTGTTTTTTAGTATTTTTGTTGATTTTACAAATTCATCATCCTTTTAAGTTGGTATTAATATCTATATCAAAAATGAAATCATTCAAATAAAATTATTTTTAACCTCTAAAATTGTTTTTATTCTTTTTCTCAAAAAAGGGTTGTTAACAATAGTTTTGAATTTTTTCACATTTTTAATTTGATCTAAAAAATAATAGCAATTTAAACAAAATTAATATTCTTTCTAATATAAATATCCTTCATTTATCCACAAAGTTGATGGAAGTTTGATTGTACTAGATCTTATTTTCATTAGTATGAAAAGAATATTTTTATTCTAAAGATTGTCACAAAGAATTTAAAAATTATTATCATTTTCAGATGTTAAAATCAATAAATCAATTCATATTTTGAAAAGTTTCAACAAATAATATTAATTTCATATGTGATTCAAAATCAATGCAATAAAAATGAAAATTGTAATTTTTTATGCACTGATTTACCAACCTTTGCATTTTACACAACTTTTGCCATCCCAATGATAAAACAACTCAGACTTTTAGTAACAAGTTTCTTCATTCTCTTAAGTTGGATCAAAATTTACACATTTTCCATCCTCTTATTCTCTACAAAGTAAAAATTAATCTCCATTTATTTTTTATTTTCTTGGAACACATCTTGTACTGAATATACTCTCACATTTATGATTTGTATCGCAAGAAATGGTTGGTTGCATAAAGCATGCAGGATAAGCCTTAAAACAAAGTGCATCTAATTTCACTTCTTCACAAGTTGTCAATTCTTAACATTTTCCATCTTTGACATAGCAAAGGCCTTCTCTAGCAACATAGCAATCGTCTACAGATCGTTCAGCACATTTTGGAATAGATTCATCAGATGATGGCTCAGTAAAACTCAAACATTTTTTTTAACTTGAATCGTAAGCGCAATCGCGATTGAATAATTCACTACATTCATCTTCAGTTTGCTCACTGCATCTTTTTGGCTTATAGCATTTGTTCTTTTTAACAAAACAACCTAGATATATACAAAGATTAATATTGTTAATATTTTCACATTTTCGAGTTACGCACTTTCCTTTTTCAATGTTGCACCGTCCCTACATCCAATCACTTTCAGCTTCACACTCTTTTTCATTCAATTCCTCGCAACCACAAACACCTTTGTGAAATGTGACAAATTCTTAACTCAAGACAATGGTAGTTGCCATGCAAAATATTATCATTATTGGTAGAGTATGCATCATATTAAATTAATAATTATTAACTTTTATATGAAATGCATATGAACAATAAATAAATCTATATTTTCTATAATTACATTTATTAAAAATTCTATGTTGTTCCAAAATTGTTTAAAATTAAAATTACTTATTACTATTCTTAATTAAAAATATTTGGGCTGTAATGTAATTTTCTTAAAATATAAAATCTTCTATATTTAAGCAGTGCTATTTTTCAGTAAAAATGTCATATTGGTAGAGTAATGTGGAAAAAATATCTAGGATTATTAATTCATGAACGGATACAAATTAATAATAAAGATAGAACAAAATTACAGTTTATTTATGCTTTTTATTTTAAGAAGGATTAATCTTCAGGGTAATATTTCAAATTAATTAAATCAAACAAAAACAAAAAGTAATAGCATCTAATGGATTAATAATTCTAGAAGGTAAAAGATTTATATAACGCTTTCTTATTAATAGATAAACAAATTTATACAAGGAAAGAAATAAAAGGTCTAATGTAAGATTGAAGAGAGAATTTAGATAAACCTTAGGAATAAGGAAAAGACTGAAGAATAATAGAAAGAGTATTCAATATACTATGAAAATTAATTTATTGGTTTTGAAATCCTATGTAATAAAAACTAATAAACTTCATTCATACTATAAGACATATATTCATGCATTTAAACTTTCAATTCTAATCACTGTTTAAATTATCCAAAATATACAGATTTCTAATTTTTCATTGAATTAATGAATAAACTTCACTTTGAATTGTAATAAATTTATTTGAACCTTTATTTATGAAATGAAAATTTAATTGATATCATCCAATTATAAGGTTGAATATTATTGAAAAAGTAAGTCTGGCCTCAATTGTATCAATTCCTTTAGTATAGGTTTTAAGTTTAAAGTAATTTTTAGCTACAATAAAACCTGTATTTGAATGAGTTCTTTATAATTAAGATGTCTAAATTTTAGTTATAAATAATTATATTCTATTATTAATTTTTTATTCTATTAAATTAATTATCAAGAACAATAACTTTAATTGATTGAACGAAAAATAATAATAAAAATGCATAATCATCAAGATGCGATTTCAAAATATATGTATTCTGATGATTCTCATTATAAATATAATCAAAATTAAGCTTATAGACTACAAAATTAAGGAATGATACAACAAGAATAGTAATAAATGGAATTCCAAAAATAAAAATATTAAAATATCGAATAGTAGGAAGCCTTAATTTAATATTATGTTTATGAAGACTTTTAAAATTTGATCAATCTATTATATTCATATTAAGTTGTCAAAAGGCATTTTAAAAGTCAACCTAGGCATCCTGCCATAATTTTAAGCAAGAATAAAATAATGCTACAATTAAGTATTTCAAATTCAATTCATTCTGATTTATACTAAACTAATAAAAGTTATTAAGATCAAAATATTTTAAAAAAAGAAAAGGAGAACGTTAAAAGTATGATAAAGAAAATGAGGAACGATATTTAAAATAATGATTTAGATAAAGAAAGTGAAGCCTACTTAGAATTATATATTAAATATTCTATGGGGGATCACATTGAATTCAAGTAATTTGAATTATAAAAAATGAATTAGGATTATAATTTCAATCAAGGTGTGTTAGACAAAATTTTCCCTTAAATTTCTTATGTGGATGAGCAAATTAAAAGTTTAAGATAAAGAAAGTACTATAATATTCCTTCAGTATAGTAGATAAAAATTAAAGCTCAGTAATATATTATGATATCACATTAGGGAATATGAAAGACTGACTGAAAATAAATTATTAATTAATTATCCATTAAATAATTACAATTACAGAAGTCCTTAGAAATAAGATTATCACAACTTTTAATTAGAAAATCCAAAATATTAATTCAATTAATTTACAAACATAAGCTAATCTTTAATTTCTAGTAGTTCTCAAACTTAAAAAAAATAATAATATTGAAATTAAATTATGTTATTTATATATAAAATTACTATATATTCTCTTCAATAATTAATATACTATAAGTGAATACTTAGATTCTTTTTGAACTAAAATCATAAATTCTTATTACATACTTAATTATTTTATATAAATAGTAATCGCAATTAATGATATATTTTATTTGTATGTAATATTTTAATAATTAAGCCTTGAATTCGATTATTTTTGACACATTTTCACTATTGAATCCCGTGACCAAAGAAAGATATAGAAATCCAGTAACAATATAATATGACATAGGCATTAACTAAAAATTGCTTACATCATAAAGCTTGTTTTGAATTGGAGGAAGCTTTAAAAGAAATCCAATAATAAAAACTTTATTAATGTCCACATTGTAATTAATAAGCATTTAGCAAATATGATTTAGTTTAAGATTGGAGAGTTGAAGCTTATAAAGAATTTAATGAAGAGGTTGATGAAGTAATAATAATAAAAGGGATGATGTTTAATAAATGCTGTAGAAATAAATATAAATATTTGAATTTTTTCACTTAGCCAGAATATTATAAGCAATTTGAACAAATATTTGAAAGAGTGGAGAATGATATGTAAATAGTATCATTAATCAGAAGAGACTTATAATAATAATAGATTTAAAACAATAATAATAAAATAATTTATTTGTGTTTTTGTTTGTTAGATAAAGTGAAAATAAATATCCCTGTTAGAATAAGAGGATGTCAACATTATGAATGTTATGAATTAACTAGTTTATTAAACTTTTAAATTGAAAATAGAAAAAAGATATAATATTTAGAATGCAAACAACCATTTTGTTCAAATCGATTAAGAATTGCACACAAAAACTATTCTATATAATCTGTACCTATAAGTAAAGAATTAGATGAACAATAAAAAATACTTGATATCTAAACATTATTTTCAGGCATATCTGTTGATTTGGATTTATTAAATGTCATTAAAAAGAGTAATCCAAGCTCATTCAAATTTTACTATAATAAAAAAACCGAAAATATTGAAGAAGATATAAATAAAATAGACGGCAAAGCTGTAGATCCATTCATTGTAAAATTTTATTTACAACATCCAGATGTATAATAAAAAATGTAATACTAAGAATTCCAAAAAATAATATAATAATAGACAATTTTAGCAACCCAAGGAGGACTTCTTTAAGAAGAGCAAGATTTGAGCAAATAATTAACTTTGTAAAGATACAGAAATTACTAAGTAAATATGATAGACAAATTAACATAACTTACAATTGAATATCCAGTTAGATGTAAACTTTGTAGAGATCTAGAAGTTTGTATGGATATTAGAAGTTATATTGCACAATTTATTTATTTTAAAAAATTTTTTCTAGCAAAAGGATTTTCTTGTCCAATATGTAATTAATAATTAGGATAATAAATTTTACGAATGAATATTTAAAATTACATATATTTAGATCCAAATATACTTTCCTATATGTATTAGAATATGTCTAATATTATTGATACCAAAATTTTTGAATATCATGGTGAATAATATATGCTTTAGGATTTTAAAAATAGATAAAAGATTAAAAGAGAAGATTATGTTGCAAGTTTATTAGATAGAATTGTTGTATTTAGGCAATTGTTTTGTAGAGTAAATTTCGAATTGAGAATTCGGTAACCTTTAATTCTTTACAATTGTCCTGATAGAAAAATTGTTGATTTTAAATCATTTTATCAAGAATTAAAGAAAATAAACTTTGATTTAGAAAAATAAGGACTTATCTTATGTAGATGCAATTATTGTTATCGCAATCCCATTAAGTTTATCGCAGGATAAATCTATTTTCATGAAGCCTTTTATGAAGCTCTAAATAAATATTATCAAATCTAAGATAATAATCAAAATGAGTCTCACTTTACATATACATTTGCTGATACAGAGAGAGATAGTTATATCAAAACAGTTCAACTTATCTTACCTTTAAAAATTAATTTTTAAAGGGAAAATGGTAGCTTTTGGGATATGATGTCTGATGAAAAGTATCAAAGTTTATTTAGAGGATCTGAAATATAAGGGTACAAATTCAAGTTATTTGCTATTAATTTCTAAACATTATGCAAATCCCAATCGTATTAGATTAATAAGGTATATATGTTGATATGGAACAAGCAATGTAGAATTTCAATTAACGTATTGATCAAAAATTAAAATAATATGGTTTTAAAGTGCGTATGATTAAATTAGAAATTTACCTTAATGAAATCTTTGATTTTATTGATGGTGGAATGGAATTTTGGATAAATGAATGAGTATTTGATAATAATATTATATAAATGAACAAAAGATGAATTATTTAGATGCCGTTGCAAACCAAATAAATCTATATATAATATTCATTTAATATATATTAATAATTTGAAATTTACTAAGTACTATCAATCAAATTTTCAAAAACAATTTTTTAATCAAAGTAGTACTAATCAACCAAAACAGAATAACATATTAAGTTTGATTAGATTCTTTAATTCCAAAATTATTATTAGTTTTGTAAATATTACTTTTGCCTTCTTTTTAAAATATCAAAATAATTCCTTATTTTAACTTAATTATTTGATATAATTAGTAATCGCTATTAATCATTATTATTAGATTTTGCTATTTAATTTTTAATAATAGAAATACAAAAATAAAGCTAAAAATGCTTGAAAGGATAAACAATTGGCCTGAAATTAATGGGAATACTAATCTTGAAAAAATCACTCTAGATACTATAAAATTAAAATAACTCAATGGATTGTAATATGAAAATCCTGTAATGATTATATATTATTTAGGTAATAACTAATAAATGCTTGCATTTAAAAGAATGTTTTGAATTAAAGGAATTTGAAGTTTAGATTAACAATAATTAACCATTTGTTTGTAAAATCTGTAATTAAAATGCATAATAATATTCTGATCTAATGTGGGATATTAGAAATCATGCTTATGAAGAATTTCACGAATTTGTTGATGAAATTCACATCATTTATGGATGTATGGTCAATAAATATTAGAGAAATAATAAATATATAGACTTATTCACTAAATTTGGCATTAAGGAACATTTTTTGAAATTAATAAGGTAAAGAGATTATTAGACAAATTTAAAGTCTCTAATTGAAAAGAATGTCTTTTAATAAAAAGCATTTTAACTTTACTGTCTTTTAGATTTTATAAAAATTAATATTCCTATTAGAATAAAAGGATGATGCTTGCATTTTGAATGCTATGAATTCACAAAAAAAAAATATTATTAATAAAATAATTAATAGAATTAGAACATCTTTTAATGTATTTATCCAGGATGCGAAATTCATTTAAATATTTCTAGTTTAGATACTTTTTTTGATGGAATTGTTGTTGATTAAGAACTTCTAAAAGAAATCAAGAAAAATAACCCAACTTCAATTATATTTAATATTGAGTAAGAAACTAAAACCATCATTTAGAATACATATTTTCCTTTTTCTGAAATTTTAACTTAATACTCGAATAAATACAATTAATAATTTACAGAGTAATAATAATTAGAACTCTAAACTAGATTTAATTAAGTCTTATAATCAATTACCCAAAGTAATTTATTACTTGATAAACCATAGTTAAAATAAAATTTATCATAAAGCATAATATCATTATAATTATAAGATAATTTAGTTGATTAAATTACTAAATTAAAAATGGAATTACCAACAAGATGTATTAAATGTATAGATTTTAACAACTCAATTGACTTGCTAACATATGTTTTTGATTTTGTCTTTAAAAAACAAATTGATAATAAATAAAAGTACTCATGTCCTTTGTGTAATTAAACTTAAAATTAAATAATGGCAATTGACAATCTAAATAAATACATTTACATTGACTAATTCTTATTATTAAAATTAATAAAACAGAAAAACGATAATAATGTATTCTAATCTGAATGTGACTTTTTTGAATCATATTTTAATAATTTATCATATGAAAATAATGTAATAGAAACAATAACTTTTGACACTTTCTAACTACATTGTATAAATAAAGTTAGATATAAAAATCCAGTAAGATTGTTATATGACATAGGCTTTAACAAGAAAATGTTTACATCGAAATACATGCTTTGAATTCAAAGAAGCTTTATAATAAATTCAATAATAAAAACTTTATTAATGTCCACATTGCGATTAATAAGCAACTAACCTAGATGACTTAGTTTAAGATTGGAGAGTTGAAGCTTATAAAGAATTCTATGAAGAGGTTGATGAAGTAACAATAATAAAAGGGATTATGTTTAATAAATGCTGCAGAAATAAATCTAAATATTTGAATTTTTTCACTTAGTCAGAATATCATAAGCAATTTAAACAAATATTTGAAAGAGTAGAGAATGATATGTAAATAGTATCATTA